AACTCCAAGAGGGAGGGCACAATCTGGCGATAAATCCAGAGGGCACCATACGGAGCACTTCGAAGACTGGACAGCAAGTCCCAACGAGCGAAGGCGGTCCATAAGTGTCGTGAAAGCCATCGAGAAAGTTGAGGGTGGACCGACGAGGAAAGTGTCATCGGCGTAAGAGGTGATGAAAATGGAAGGGAATTGCCGCTGGGTAGGGAGGATGGCAAGTTGCTGCATGAGGTCATACACGAAGGGACCATAGGGGTCCCCCTCTAGCACACACCAGAGGCAGACTGGAAGGAATGAATGGTGGGGCCATTGCGGAAGTGGAGGGGGGAAGGGGAGGCATAGAAGAGGCGGAAGAAGGGGGTGAGGGAAGAGAAATGGGAGGAGCAAAGGGCGTCGAACATGGCTATCCTGTTAAAGGAGTTGAAAGCATTGGCGATGTCGAGTTGAAGCATTGCCCAGTCAGGGTGTAAAGAAAGGGCAAACTGCACCACGTGCACCATTACTTCAATCCCAGCAGGAACAGCCACGCCAAACTGAAGGCATGGAAGGAGGGTGTCCCGCATCTGCTGCTTGGACATGAGGGAAATGCAGCGAGAGAGGAGGCGCGTGAGCACTTCCCCAATAGCGATTGGCCGGACTCCGCCATGAGGCTTCTACAGGGCGACAAGAGAGGACGCCGTGTAGAAAGGGCGGACCAGGGTAGGTAGGTTACCCTGCAGCCAATTCTGGAAAAGGCGGAGGAGGGTGGGGAGGTGCTGCTGGTAGGAGAGAAAAGTATTCTGAAGATGCTCAATGTACCAACCAGATGGACCAGCAGCAGTCCCTTGAGGGGCAGAGCGTAAGGCGGAGTGAAGGGCTGGGGCGGTGAGCTGAGGCAGGGAGTCCGGAGTGAAGGCAAAAATCCAGTCAGGGAGGGGCTCTGCCCCAGGGAGATGTTTGGAGGAGAGAGCGGAGAGTGTGTCCGACGTTGGGGGAGCGAGCTCACCGGCTTCAAGCGCAGCAAGAGAGCGAGACCAGTCGCCACACTTGGCAAAGCGCTTAGCACGATAGAGGCGGGCTTGGGCAGCCGTGGAACAGGTCGAGGCTAGGTTAAGGGGGTGGGCAGCAGGGGCTGCTGCAGCTGAGGCCTAAAAAAATAGAGCACGCCAGTCGTCACTAAGAAAGAGTTGGGCCAGGAGAGCACAAGACGCAGTGAGGGATTACGTGGGGGCAGCTGCGGACATATGGAGGACAAGGCACGAGAAAGCAAGCAAGAGAAGGTGCGTTGCAGCATCTGAAGGAAACTGTGCAAGTCAGCGAAGCGGGATGAGCAGAGCATCAAGAACGTGGAGGCGGATGCGAGGAGGAATGCGGCGGATGATAGGGCCAGGAGAGACTGTAGGGTTGAAGAATGCTGACCAGTCCCAGGTAAGGACGGCGTCCCAAGTGGCTGATGGGAACGCAGGGGGAGAAGTGCTATCAATAGAAGAATCTTGGGCATGTGGAGGGGCAGCGCGAGGAGGAGGGCAAGCAGCTTACTGTCGTGCGGAAGTGTGCTGTTGGCAAGCTGTTTTGTGGCACCTGAGTTTGCTTGCATTGGCCCAAGAGCGGCGACATAGAGGGCAGGTGAACGAAGAACTCGCAGGAGGTGGGTTCGCAGGGGCTGATGGGTTCGAGGAGGACGGGGAAGGAGGAGGAGACGTGGAACGGGGAGGGGAGGGTTGTCAACCCATGCACAATCCTACTCCCCCTCTGACTCCCCCTCCCACTCCCACTCCCCCTCGCACTCCCCCGCCCCCTCCCACTCACCCTCCCCCCCGACTCCCACTCCGACTCCCACTCCCCCTGCCACTAGGGGAGATGCAGCTGGAAATTGGGGCTCGAGAAGGCCGGTTTGGTTTGGCATGGGTTGGGAATGTGATGTGGGTACATAAGTTTAGTCTCACAAATAAAAAGGATATGAAGATAAAGGGACAAGCAGTGGTGGGATCGTGCATGGAAGCGGGGACCTAGGACCTAGGCGTCACCACTACGTTTCCACTTGGTGTCGGCTGTCTTCAGGACCTAGGCGTCACCACTATGTTCCCCGGACACGAGCGGTATGCGGTTTATACCGAGGCCACCATTGGTGCCCCTCTGACCACTTTCCCCCGGGAACATGTGCCCGGCCTGTTTACGCTTGACACTGCGTCCCCCCCAGGGAGGGCGTCCCCCCAAGTGCCTAAGGCGACCCAGGTCGCTGCGGCCTGCTCGTGTCGGTCGCTCACTCACCCGTCGCTGCTGTGTCACCACCGCCTAGGTCACCCCTCACTCCCGCATCTGCGTCACATGTCCCAATACGGTCTTGTCTTCGGTCTCCCTGCGTCGCCCCCTGCCTGCCCTCCCTCGCCTGCGCCACCGTTTACACCCTGCGTCGAGGGCCAGCTATGCCATGCTCCTCACTCCTCCTCGTTTCCCCCTACTACTGCGCCATTCCAGACCCTGCACTTGGAGGTTTGGGACCCAGCCCCCTTTCCCTGGGTCGCGTCGAGAGCGCTACTTTCTGGTGCTTATTGACGACTACACGCTCTACACCATGGTGTTTCCCCTTGAGCAAAAGGCCAACATGCCTGGCGTTCTTATCTCGTGGGTCCTAGCTGCGCAAGTCCACCGCAGCCTCCCAGTGCTTCGTCTCCACTCCGGCTGTGGCGGCGAGTTTGCCTCCGGTCGACTTGACGAGTTTTGCCGTGTGGAGGGCATCACCCAGTCGTACACCCTGCCGAACTCCCCACAGCAAAATGGGGTCACTGAGCAACGCATCGGTTTGGTCATGGAGGTGGCTCGTACCTCCATGATCCATGCCAGTGCACCCTATTTTTTGTGGCCGTTCGCTCTTTGCTACGCCGCTCACCAGCTTAACATGTGGTCGCACTCCCTGCGGCCGCAGGTTTCACCAACCCTTCTTTGGACCGGGTTCCCTGGTGACGCATCTGGGTTCCAAATCTGGGGCTGCCTCGCTCACGTTCGTGCCTCTGGTACAGACAAGCTCACTGCCCGCACTGTCCCCTGTATCTTCCTTGGCTTTCCCTACCGAGGTCTCCGAATTTCCCCGCCCCTGTTTTTGGTTCCCACTCCCCCGATAGCCCCTGCTCCTCTCCCTCCCTGTCCTGGCCCGTCTGGTGTGTCTCACATCACTCCCCTCCTGTCGGTGGTCTCGGTGGAGGAGTCGGCTGACTCCGGAGGCCCCGCGACTTCGGTTTCACCGCCTGTCTTCGCCCCGGTGTCTCCTCCTCCGCCGCCGCAGCCGTAGCAGCTGCCGCCGCCGTCGGTGCAGCAGCAGCCGCCGCCGCTGCCGCAGCCGCAACCGCCGCAGGGGTCCGCGTGTGTTGGGGGTACTTGTATTGAGGAGGGTGCTAGTCCTGGGGTTATTGTCGTGGCTTGTCCCAGCGGTCTCAGGGGTGGGACCGGTGCTGGAGAGGGTTCTCGTTTTGGGGGTACTGGTTCTGGGGGTGCTAGTCCTGGGGTTCCTGTCGTGGCTCGTCCCGGCGGTCCTAGGGGTGGCACCGGTGCTGGAGAGGTTTCTTGTTCTGGGGGTGCTATAGTGGAGCATTCCGGAGGTAGCCATGGTGCAGCTGGAGGTTCTGGTGTCAGCATGGAGCAGCAGCAGCAGCAGTCGCCACCGGTGTCAACCCTTCGCCTCTTCGGTCTTCCCTCCCCCGACCGCCCACCTGTGTCTCCCCCGCTACCGCTTCCCCTGCCTGTCTACGGCCCAGTGTTTCCTCCGCCGGACTCGTCTCTGGCTTGTCTTCCCCCTCGTTCCTCTCTTGTGTCTCCTCCTCTGTCTCCTGACCCAAGGCATCTGTCTCACGTCTGGTCTCGCCTCCCTCCCGTGCTCGTCCTATCTCTCATGTTCAACGCTCTCACCCTATGCTACTCCGTTCCCACGCGTCTCGTCCTCCCCTCTTCCCGTCGCCTCCTCCGTCGTCGCTTGTTGTCGCTCCGCCTCCTCTATCTGACTTCCTTCGTGCAGATAGTCCTCTTGTTCCTCGTGTCATTGCCTCCCTCGTTACTGACCCGTCTGTTCCTGTCTCGAGTCTTGACGCGCTTGTCGCTGCCGTCGATTTCTTCGCCTCTACCCATCGCCTTGACTACGCCACCGCTCTGGTCTATGACCTTGCCCGTCCTCCGTCCGTGGGGGGTGCTCCTGCCCTTGGAGGACCGGCAGTACGAGCTTGCTTTCCTGTCCGAGGCCGCGCCTCATCTCTACTCCATGCTGCTAGTCCCTGAGAGGGACCCTGATGCCTTTGACATCCCGACCCCTCGCACTTACACGGAGGCGACCTCGGGACTCTGGGCCTCTCAATGGATAGCTGCCATGGACGCTGAGATGGCATCTTGGAGATCCACCGGCACCTAAATCGACGCAGCTCCCCCACCTGGGGTGAATAGTTGATGACCGGTGGCTCTTCAAGGTGAAGCACCCTCCTGGAGAGCTGCCAGTCTTCACGGCACGCTATGTTGCTCGAGGCTTCAGTCAGCGGGAGGGTGTTGAGTTCTATCACACCTTCGCTCTGACCCCGAAAATGACTACTCTTCGGGCGCTGTTACTCGTACCAGCACAGCATGACTACGAGCTGCACTCTCTTGACTTCTCGACAGCGTTTCTTCAGGGCAGTCTGCATGAGCAGATCTACCTTCGTCGCCCGCCAGGCTTCACCGGCACCTTCGCCCCGGGGACCCAGGCACTGTCGCTCATCTAGCCTAGGGGATGTGTCAAAACATATATATGTGTATATATATATGTCTTATAGGCTAGATAGGTGCGTACTCTTAGAGAGTACAACCCCTTAGCACAAAAGCACCTTGTATCACACATTCTAGTCATTCGTTCTCACTTTGATAAGCTACGCATTGTCTAGCTAATAAAGCTGCCTAGATGTGGGCTAGATCTGGGCTTGGCTTGGCTCCTATATTCTCATCCATGAGCTCTTAACAGAATTGCCTAGTAGAGTCCACCAGCAATCGTGCTGCCTGCCACGTGAAGAGAATGCCAAAGTTTGCTTGCAGAAATGGGATACAACTGTGGGTTAAAAATGGTCTAGATGTTGGCTCCACCTACCGTATAAGCCCGGATATAAGACCCCCTAGTAATAGAAGGCCCTGGGTCTTGTGTATTAGGCGCTCATCTTGTGGTAACTCAGTTTTTTTGCCCCAGGATCCAAGACCATTTGGATTGCTTTTCAACGGTATGTGATAAGACCCATGGGTCTTCTATCCGGGCTAATACAGTATGTTCTCATCCATCAGCCTTCTTGTGACATCCACCAGCATGGGTGCTGATACATGTTGCTGACGAGGAGTCTTGAAGAGAATGCCAAAGCTTGCTTCAGCTTCGAAAGCTGACTACAGAAGATGTGGGCTAAATGTTGGCTCCACTTATGGTCTCATCCATGAGCCCTTTACAGAACTGCCTTGTGACATCCACCAACAAGGGTGCTGCTACGCTTTGCTGACGACAAGTGTTGAAGAGAATGCCCAAGTCAGTATACGAAAGCTGGCCAAATATGGTGGCTAGATGTTGGCTCCACCTATATTCTCATCCATGAGCTCTTCGCAGTACTGCCTTGTGACGTCTGCCATGGGGGGGTGGTGAGAAGAGGGAGCACATGACCATAAGCATTTTGGCTGGGGGGGTTAGAAAGCGTGCTTCGCAAGGCTGTGTTCAGAGCAATCATGGCGCATAAGACATCCATGAGCTCTTCGCAGTACTGCCTTGTGACGTCTGCCATGGGGGGTTGGCGGGACGAGGGAACAAGCAAGAGCCCAAACGAGATAGGAGACGTGAGAGGGGGAGCAAGCATGGTCCGGCAATCATCCATGAGCGCGTCACACCACATGGCTGCCTTGCGACACATGGGAGGCACTGGGTGTTGTTGAGAATCCTCAGAAGCACCCTGTTGCTTGCAGGGAAGAGGTGGAAGAGTGTGGGTTATGGTTGGGGAGCAAGGAAGGATCGAGAGGTAAATAATGTGTGCAAAGAGAAAGGACGGGTGGAGAGAGTCGATATTTGTGCAAAAGGAATGGGCAGGAAGCAATCAATCACCCACCTGCTTTTCACATTCTAGTCCCTCGGGTTGATCATTCACCTGCTTTGAGAAAACTGCCAGACAAGCAGGTTTCGAGGTACCACGAAGCACGAATTGGCGCTCATGGAATATAAGGTTGGTTTTGAGACGTCTCATAACCAGCCTTATATCACGTGGCTAAGCATTGCGCAGCTGGCTGGATGCAAGCAGGAGATAGTCAGCTCATCACCCACCCACTTCGTTTGTTGCATCGTCAGCACCCACTCACTGTTTGTTGCATCGTCAACATTAACTGTGCTTCGCTCCCAACACCAACCCCTCAATATGCGCACCGTGTTGCATTGTCAGTGCAGGCTTGGGCTCTGACAGGGTTCCAACCACCTTGGCTGGCGTGCCGGCCACCATGCTGTGATGGGGGAGGGAGGGAGGGGTGGGAGAAGGAAGGGACGAGGAGGGGAGGCGGGGGGGTGATGGAAGAGAAGAGGTTGGGCTCTGAGAGGGTTCATTCCAGCCCTCTTGATTGGGAGAGACCAAACCTAGCCCCCTTGACTGGCGTGCCAACCACCATGCCGAGATGGGAGGAAGGGAGGGACAGAAGGAGGGATGAGGCGAATCAAAACCCAGTGCATGCTGAACACGCGAGAGAGGAGGGGGTATGTCTTTAAGAGCCGGAGCGGAGGTTTAGCAGCAGCGATCGTGGAGCCCTGCTGATGCTCGTGCTGCGATGCTCGTGCTGCTGATGCTCAAGCATCAGCAGGGCCCTGCCCACACCACCAGGGAAATGTCTGGTTAACCCTGCACACGCCTCCTATCACCTGAGGCAATACGCTTACCTGCACACACCACCCATCACCTGAGGCAATACGCTTACCTATGAGGAGTGGAGGAACGACTTTCAGCACCAGCGACCCAGCGGTGATCATGGAGGCCTGCCCGATGCTGATGCTGCCCAGGGTGGTGTTGCTGCCTTTTGAGTCGACTCAAAAGTCATCTGCCCAGAGTGGTGTTGCTGCCCATTCTTACCGGGGCTGCCAGGGCTCCATTGCCGAGCACTTACCGGCACGTGAGACAATACAAATACATACCTGTGTGGCGGCATTTTTTAGTCGGCTCAAAAGTCAACTGCCAGGGCTCCATTGCCGCACACTTACCATCACGTGAGACAATACACATACCTGTGGGGAGGCACGTCCTTGAGAACCAGAGACCCAGCAGAGATCATGGAGCCCTGCCCGATGCTGATGTGGGTTTGAGAACACACATGGCAGCCCTTAACGTACCTGTGGGGAGGCACGTCCTTGAGCACTAGGGACCCAGCAGCGATCATGGAGCCCTGCCCGATGCAGATATTGCCCAGGACCGTTGCCCCCGCCCCGATCAGCACGTCCTCCTGCACCTTGGGGTGCCGGTCGCCTGCTTCTTTTCCCGTGCCTCCTAGAGTCACTCCCTGGCAGGCCGAGCGCAAGGCAAGGGGGGAGTACGAGGAGAGTGAGTGTAAGGGTCTGTGCCCCTGCCCCGATCAGCACGTCCTCCTGCACCTTGGGGTGCCGGTCGCCCACCTCCTCGCCTGTTCCACCGAGTGTGACACCCCGGAGAGAATGAGAAAGGAGAGAGTGTGTGAGAATGGTCCTCCCCCCCTCTCCCCCTCCCGCCCCAATCCGCACATCCTCCTGCACCGTGGGGTGCCCTGGCAGGCCGAGCACAAGGGGAGAATGGAGTGCGAGGGGAGCGAGTGTAAGCGTCGGTGGCCCCGCCCCAATCCGCACCTAAGTTGGAAAAAACGCTCACTTTTGATTGCGTATTGCGTTTAAACGCATAGAAAATAAGTACGCTGCGTTTTTGGTCTAGATACGCCGAAATACACACGGGCTGACCGGAAAAAAAACCCAATAATTTGCAACATTTTGCGACTTGGCGAAAAATATTCTCGCCTTCGCACATCGCGTGGACTCAACTTCGAGTTCAAATTTCGAACCCTAACCCCGCCAACCCCTCCTTCGAACCTCTGTCCACCCCTCTCGACCTCGTCACTTCCCAATCCCTCCCAACTCCTCCTTGAGACGAGTTGGCCTCAAACAGAGTCAGCTCTCCTAGCATAAATTACTGCCATTTCAACATTCAATACTCATTCTCGCAGTTCCCTTTCTACCATAGCTTGCGCGCCACCATGACATCCAGCCCTACAGCATCACCCTCTCCCCCATATGCTGAGGCAACCCGTACTTCCACCTGCCCGGAAAAAAAATTCCCCTGCCCGGGCCACCGTATTCTGTGCGTACCCGACCCCCTCCTCCTAAGCGTATTGCGTTTATACGCTCTCGTATAAACGCTTTCGTATAAAACGCGATACGCGTATATTCCAACTTAGATCCGCACATCCTCCTGCACCGTGGGGTGCCCTGGCAGGCCGAGCACAAGGGGAGAATGGAGTGCGAGGGGAGGGAGTGTAAGCGTCGGTGGCCCTGCCCCAATCCGCACATCCTCCTGCACCGTGGGGTGCGTGTCAATCACCTGCTTCTTTTCCGAGTGTGACGCAGGTCACACTCGGAAGCAGCACCTTGGAAAAGAAGCACATTCTCCAATCAGAACGGTTGCCCTGCTCCGATCAGCACCTCCTCCTTCATCTGAACGGGTGCCCGAACCGAAGCATGCCTGCAATATACTCTCTCACCTGTGGCATCAACTCTCCTGCAAAAAGAGACACCCTGTCCCCCATTATTGCGGTATCCCCTATCTCCACACCATTCCCACTATCCATGAGAAAGCCCCCCCCCCCCCCCACAAAGCACACCAGCGACAGAAAGTACCACCTGCAACAACTCATTTGTAAAAGAGACTCCCCTATCACCGCGCCCGTCTGTGGCAGTGAAAGTCACAGACGATCGCTGCCTACCCCCTATCACCACTTATTGTGCATGGTATGGGGCATGGTGCTGGAAATTGGGCATGGCGTGGGCCTGGAGATTTGGGCCTGGGGAATATTCATGTGGATTGCAGTGGCTAGAGCCTGGGAACAGGGGGACGAGGGAAGCATCAGTGTACCATATGCTCTTCCTCCAGCTCAACCGCCATGTCCTTGTCAGTGGCTGTCAGTGGCATGTGCACAGTGACTCGATGTGGCATGTGCACAGTGACTCAATGTGGGCGCCCGCCCTGTGTTCCTTAGAGGCTTGGGGAGTTATTTCACCCACGTCACTTTTCCCAATCTTCACTTGCATGCGATGACCTGCTATAGTGCATGTTCTCCCCTCAGAATGCCAGAGCCCCATCCCGTCAACGCCATTGCAGGGCTTCACCAATGTCATCAGATTGGAGGGTGTGCTCAAGGCATGGAAGGGCCAAGGGGACCCTCTAGTGGAGTGAGGCTGCAGTAGCTCGCGGCCTGAATGTCGTGGATGGAGCACCATTCACCGTTTGTTTGTCCACGTCACAATTTTGGCTGTGCATCCCCCTTGTCCTCGTTATTCCCCTTATTCACCATCCTGGTAACTAAAATCCTAGGCCCAACAATCACTAACGAACAAAACGTTAAGGCACCCCTACTGAAGTTTGATTGTACAGTGCTAATACTTTGGGCCTCTCCCTGACGCTCTCACTCCTTCCCAGCAGCCCTCACTCTCTTCCCTTCCACCACAAACCAGAAATCCCCGAAGTATAATCTCAGTAGAAACCCAAAAGGCTAAAGCACGGATGTTGTTAAAACAAATCACACGCGGGTGGAAGAGCCACTCTCTTTCTCTCCAACTGATCACCATGGCTGTGCCACGGTCCACAAGAATGCATGAATCCACCCGCGTGTATTTTGAGTCTACCCGCCGCAATACCCATGAATCTACCCGCAATAGCAACAGCAACTCACCTGCAGCAGAGACACCCTGTCCCCGACAATCGCAGTCTCGCCAATCACGACGCCCGTGCCATGGTCCATGAGAATGCCGCGGCCGATGCGCGCCGCTGGGTGGATGTCCACTGCGAACACCTGAGGGGTAGAGGGGGAAAGGGGGAGAGGAGGGGGAGGGGGGAGGAGAAGGGGAGGGGGAGAGGGAGGGGGAGGGGGAGGAGGGCACAAGAAGACAGAAAAGGGGGAATGGTGCGAACCACTGAGATGTGGGCTGCTGGATGGATGGATGTCCCATCCGTGGGCAGAGCAAATTGCTTTCTGAATAACTTATGATACCAGTGACTGCAAAACGGACATGGCGTTACCTCGAATTTGCGTGACTGCAGAGCAAGAGCGAGGATGCGCTGACCCCGGTTCCACAACGCAATCACCTTGAATACTTGTGCATGCAACTCAGAAGAACTCAGAAGGAGGTGCACGTGCATCCTCAGAAGGTGCACGTGCATCCTCAGAAGGTGCACCTGCATCCTCAGAAGGTGCACCTGCATCCTCAGAAGGTGCACCTGCATCCTCAGAAGGTGCACCTGCATCCTCAGAAGGTGCACCTGCATCCTCAGAAGGTGCACCTGCATCCTCAGAAGGTGCACCTGCATCCTCAGAAGGTGCACCTGCATCCTCAGAAGGTGCACCTGCATCCTCAGAAGGTGCACCTGCATCCTCAGAAGGTGCACCTGCATCCTCAGAAGGTGCACCTGCATCCTCAGAAGGTGCACCTGCATCCTCAGAAGGTGCACCTGCATCCTCAGAAGGTGCACCTGCATCCTCAGAAGGTGCACCTGCATCCTCAGAAGGTGCACCTGCATCCTCAGAAGGTGCACCTGCATCCTCAGAAGGTGCACCTGCATCCTCAGAAGGTGCACCTGCATCCTCAGAAGGTGCACCTGCATCCTCAGAAGGTGCACCTGCATCCTCAGAAGGTGCACCTGCATCCTCAGAAGGTGCACCTGCATCCTCAGAAGGTGCACCTGCATCCTCAGAAGGTGCACCTGCATCCTCAGAAGGTGCACCTGCATCCTCAGAAGGTGCACCTGCATCCTCAGAAGGTGCACCTGCATCCTCAGAAGGTGCATCCCTCAGAAGGTGCACCTGCATCCTCAGAAGGTGCACCTGCATCCTCAGAAGGTGCACCTGCATCCTCAGAAGGTGCACCTGCATCCTCAGAAGGTGCACCTGCATCCTCAACTACCTCGGAGATGCGGGACTGCAGCGCAAGAGCCAGGATGCGCTGGCCCCGATTCCACAGGGCGTGTGCGATGCGATACGACTGGAGCGCGTGGTAGCCCTGGGGGGAGGGGGAGGGGGCGTGCGAGGGGGAGTGGGAGGGGAAGGGGGAGGGGGAGTGGGAGGGGGAGTGGGAGGGGGAGTGGGAGGGGGAGTGGGAGGGGGAGTGGGAGGGGGAGTGGGAGGGGGAGGGGGAAGGGGAGTGGGAGGGGAAGGGGGAGGGGGAGGGGGAGGGGGAGGGGGAGTGGGAGCGGGACACAGGTGACTGACAGTTGGGTCAATGCGGTCAACATGGTCAACGCGGTCAACGCATGGGCGATGCAGTGCGGCACGACTGGAGTGTGTGGTATGGTATCCCTGGGGGGACGTGAGACGGAGACACAGGTGGCTGACAGATGAGTCAACGCTGTCAACACGGTCAAGTCAAGGCAGTCAAGGCGTGGGCGATGTGGTACGACTGGAGCGCATGGTATGGTATCCTGGGGGGACGTGAGACGGAGACACAGGGGGCTGACAGATGAGTCAATGCGGTCAACACAGTCAATTCAAGGCGGTCAAGGCGTGGGCGATGCGGTACGACTGGAGGGCGTGGTAGCCCTGGGGGAGTGTGAGGGGGGGGGCACAGGAGGCGATGGGGTCAGTGCATGAGAATGCGGGCGACGCGGCAAGACTGAACTGTGTGGCAGCTCGGTGGGGGGGGAGGGGGGGGGGGGAGAGGGGCAGTGGGGTCAATGCGGTCAATGCAGTCGATGCGGTCAATGAGGTCAATCCAGTCAGCGGGGTCAATGCGGTCGATGCAGTCAAGGTGTGGACGACGCAAAAAAGAAACTGAGGTTTGAACTTTTGAGTGAGCACGAAGCAGGTGGTTGGGTGCGTGCCATGAAAACACAGGGCGAGCTGGGGAAGAAGCATCCACCATCTATCATTTGAGTCGACTCAAAAGGTGTATTTTGAGTCGAATCAAAAGGTGTATTTTGAGTCAACTCAAAATACAGTTGGGTGCGTGCCATGAAAACACGGTGCAAGCTGGGGAAGAATCATTCACCATCTATCATCACTCTCACCTTGTCATAGAGAGAAGGGCATTGGCGTCCCACACCACACCATCCCACCCCATCCCACTCCATCCCATCCCATCCCATCCGATCCCATCCCATCCCACAGCACCCGATCCCACCCCATCCCACCTCATCCCACCCCATCCCACCCCACCAGTCGCACCTTGTAGTAGAGAAGAGCGTTGGAGTAGGAGCGGCAGGACGGATCCCGATCACGCACGGCCTGGCCAGACAAATCAGAGCATCGCGCCAGGTCATCAGTGAGGTGTATGTGAGATGGAGGAACAACAGGTATGGCATGGAGTGGCATGGAGTGGCATGGGGTTGCGATGGGATGGAGTATAGCAGCCATGATACTGGGGAGCATAAGCACGGAGTCAAACGCGTCCTTCAGCTGCGTGGCCAGCAGCTTTGCGTTCCAGCAGCAAATACCACCACTCGCATACCACATCACCCAAGGGTGGGCACACCTGCACATCCGCCCTAATAGCCGCTCGAACGTGTGGGAGCATGAGCACGGAGTCGAGCTCGTGCATCAGTGTGAGGAGTCTATTTGAGCATAGCATGAGCTCCTCACGCATGAGCACGGAGTCGAGCACGTCCATCAGCTGCGGCGCGTGGCCAGCAGCGTCACGCTTTTCAGTCGACTCAAAAGCAGAACGTTTGGGAGCATGAGCACAGAGTCGAGCTCGTCCATCAGCTGGGTTGCATGGCCAGCAGCATCACGTTCTAGATGCACATTCCACAGTACCACAGCACACCGCCCCTCATACCTACCTACCTGCACATCCGCCCTAATAGCCGCTCTGATATTAGGCAGCATGAGCACCGAGTCAAACACGTCCATCAGCTGCGTCGCCAGAAGCGTCACGTTCTGCAGCCGGTTCGCCAGCACAAAACCCAAGGAGCGCTCGAAGCACGAGTGAGCAAGGATGGACGCGTAGAGGAAGCTGCTCAGAATAGGCTCCCTCTCTGCCTGCAATTCGACAGGAAGCAGGTGGAGGACGGGGGAACGGGGGGCGGGGGGGGGGTAAGCATCACGTTTTGCAGCTGGTGGCCAGCACAAAGCACGAGTGAGCGAGGATGGACGCGTAGGGAAAGCTGCTGCGGATTGGCTCCCTCTCTGCCTGTTTGTTGTGGCGGGAGTTGTGTCCAGGGAGAGGGAAGAAGGGTGGGAGGCAGAGCCACGTTCTGGAGGGTGTTGTTGCAACGTTGAGGGCCACGTCGTCTGATGGCCACGTCGTCTGAGGGCCACGTCATCTGAGGGCCACGTTGAGAATTCTCAAAAGCACCCTGCAAGGCCACGTTGAGAATTCTCAAAAGCACCCTGCAAGGCCACGTTGAGAATTCTCAAAAACACCCTGCAAGGCCACGTTGAGAATTCTCAAAAGCACCCTGCAAGGCCACGTTGAGAATTCTCAAAAGCACCCTGCAAGGCCACGTTGAGAATTCTCAAAAGCACCCTGCAAGGCCACGTTGAGAATTCTCAAAAGCACCCTGCAAGGCCACGTTGAGAATTCTCAAAAACACCCTGCAAGGCCACGTTGAGAATTCTCAAAAACACCCTGCAAGGCCACGTTGAGAATTCTCAAAAGCACCCTGCAAGGCCACGTTGAGAATTCTCAAAAACACCCTGCAAGGCCACGTTGAGAATTCTCAAAACACCCTGCAAGGCCACGTTGAGAATTCTCAAAACACCCTGAGAATTCTCAAAAGCACCCTGCAAGGCCACGTTCTGGAGCCAGTTGGCCGACGCGGATCCGAGAGATCGCCCGAGTGGAGTCATTTTTGAGAATTCTCAAGAATGACTCCACTGAGAGCGCTCGAGGCACGAGTGAGCAAGGATGGAGGCGTAGCGGAAGCTTCTCAGGATTGGCTCTCTCTCGCTCCACCTCCGGTTGATAGGCGGAGGTGGGAGAGGGGGGAAGGGGGTGGGGAGGCAAGTGTCGCGTTCTGCAGCTGGTTAGCCAGCACGAAGCCAAGAGATCGCTCGAAGCACGAATGTGCAAAGAGGATAGATGCGTAATGGGCCCTCTCAAAATGGGCCTTCTCAGTGGATCGGAAACTGCTCAAAATGGGCCTTCTCTCTGCCTGAGTTCCCATCAAGGTGACTTTTGAGTCGACTCGAAAGGCCCTCGCTCGGCCTGGGTTACCATCAGTAAAGCGAAGAGAGGGGGGGGGGGGGAGAGGGGAGGTGTGCAGGGAGGGGCCCATGTTGCTGCCCAGATCGGCAGGTGACTCATGGAACAGTCCCCCCGCCCTTCCTTATGTCTCATATCTCTCCTCATATCTCTCCTCATATCTCTCCTCATATCTCTCCTCGGGTCTCGCCTCTCGTTCCCTCATACCTGTTCCCTCATCCTCTCACCTCCAGCCGCGCTTCCGCGCGTATGGCCGCCCAGATCGGGTCGCTCATCGAGTAGTCCGCGCCCCTGCCGCCCACTCCCCCGCGCGCCACCCCCGCGTCCATCCCCATTGCCCCCGCCATCGCCCCCATGCCTCCACCAATGCCTCCCCCCACTCCCCCCATACCTCCCCCCATCGCTCCCCCCATGCCTCCCGCCATCCCTCCCGCCATCCCCATATCCCCCCCAAGCGGCCCCAATCCGCTCAGCCCCCCGCCCCCCGCGCTCCCCGCCTCCGCCCCCCCCCTGCCGTTCGGACCCCCGCTCGCGGTAACGGGCCACGTGGCGGGCTGCGATACGTCATCCCAGGGGAGGGGGTAGGAAGGGGCGGCCTGGCTCCGGCTGTGCATGTAGGCGGGGAACATCCACGCGGGGTCAACATCTACACGACTATTATTAGTATTACTACTATTATTATAACTGTTACTAAAACTATTATTATTAATATTACTAGTGTTGGTGTAGGCGCCGCGTAATCCGGTCCATTCGTCGTCCATTGACGGTTGAGAGGGTGGTGAGGAGGAGGAGGAGGAGGGGGAGGAGGAGGGGGGGTAGGAGTTGACAGAAGGGGGTTGCTTGTCGGACGGACGCGGATTTTTCGGCGACTTGGACGGGTCGTCTGAGTGGGACCTGCTGTCGCGCGAATACGTCGCACGAACTTGCTGTCGCTGTCGGTGTCGCACAGGTCGTCGCATGGGTTGTCGCACGGATCGTACGGAAGCAGGAAGGCAAGGGGTGCTCGGAGCGACGGTCTCGAGCGATCCGTCACGGTTCGGTACGGTCAGGTGCAGTCGGGCGAAGGGCGACGCAGTGCGGTGCGACACGGTGAAGTCATTAACACTAGCTGCTCCATGGGGAAGCGACGAACGGAGCGACGCGCTGCGGAGAGCCGCCATGGTGACACGTGGCTGATAACGAATCTTATCACCTGACGTGGCAAGTCACGCGACGAACAGATATATAGCCTGAGACTGGGCTCTCCTGGGCTCCAGACTGTTTATGGACTTCTAGCTAACACAGAGTAGCGGGAAAAACGGCGGCTTGGCCGAAACGCTAGTAGTGGAAACTGGTTCTGGTCACTAACTAGGTCAAGAAGCTGCTAACTACTGTACTGTAGAAGGTGGTGGAAGTGGTGGGTTTCCTCGGAAACTGATTCTGGTGGTTCCTCAGAATGCTGCTAGCCTTGCTGCGCTGGCTGCGATCACATCCACGTGGATGTAGACGCCTTTGGGAAGATCATGAGTGAGTTAGAAATCGTACTGCAACGACCTGCTTGTAAGTAAAACCGCGTTCCACCGTACTGAGAACATCAAGTGAACCTACGCCGATGTTCGCGATAACACGCACCTGGTGTAGTCACTTGGCATATTCCCTTCAGGCTGGATGTGTTATGAATAATAATCTAGAGTGCGCTGAATAACGAAAGAAGTACAAACAGAGGTTAGAAACTATATCAACGAGCTTCCTGACCAGGTGGAGACCTCGGAAGGCTAAGTTGGGAATATGCGCAGTCGAAGGGATCGAACGCGACACGAGCCAGCCTCAGATGGTGAGGCTATCATGTCAAGCCTGATTTTATGAGGGAAATAATTTCTTACAAGATTGATAAGACATGTAGCCAACAACGGTATAGGATCACTTACACAGACATCTATACAGTATTTTTCCAACCAGAACAAGGGAATGCGTCAAGAACACTTCACCAAAACTACCAGCCATCAAAGTTCCCATACGACGAGCTTGGGTGGGCCTTTTTCACTGGCACTGATGGTGGACCCATGGCCTTCGATGAGCCAGACCCACTGGCTTCAGGGGCTTTTGTCTGTGATGGGTTCAGATACTTGCCAATTCCTTGTGACTTGAACACTTTCGGTGCCTCTTTGCCTGCTAAGGGGTTGCTGTACCAACTCCCGACCGCATCCTAGGACAGATGATGCAAGGAAAGGGAAGGGAAGGGAGAGGGGAGGGGCCAAGGGATGGGGGAGTGGATAATGCAGGGAGAGTACGGAGGGAGAGGAAGAGGGGAGATTTTGGTAATTGAGTACTTATGCTAGGTGCCGAGCATGTTCAAACGAGGGATCTGTAGGACACATGCACTCAAGCTTTCCTAAGAGCTCCCCCTAAAGTCCCACATGCTCCTGTTGTGCCTCCTCGCATGCCATCTCCTCGGCCTTCCTATCCTTCCGCACACACACAAGCACGCACGCCCACGCCCGAACTCGACCCCACATGCGCATGGACGCTCACGCACACGCACGCATACACATACACACTCCCACTCACACTCACACACACTAACATACCAGCTCCTGCTGCTCCTCCCATGTCATCTCCTTGGCTTTCCTCTCCTTCTCCTCCTTCTCCCTCGCTGCTGCCTCCTCCGCCTCTGCCTCGGGATCCACCTCGGTGTATGGATTCACAAATACAGTGATGCTCTCTATCGTGATGGGTTTCTGCAGGTACAGGTAGATTCGGGAAGGAGGACACAGGAAAGCGCAGAGATGAGACAGACACTTCCCCTTTCGCTTGCTGCTTCTTCCTCCTCTGCCTTGGGATCCGCCTCGGTGTACGGATTCACGAATACAGTGATGCTCTCTATCATGATGGGCTTCTACGGGCGTGAATGAACAGGAAATAAGGGAATGGCACAGCAAGCATAGAGGTGAGACGGACACTCCCCCTCTCCCTCGCTGCTGCCTCATCCGCCTCTGCCTCCGCCTCAGGACCCAGCGCACAAGAAAGAACAGGGAAGGGCAGAAAGTAAGCATACACGTGAGAGACATTCACTCTCCTCGCAGCCTCCTCTACATCGACCCCACGATGTACCCAAGCACCGAATGCTGTACGTGAAGTGAGGTGACTCTTGAGTCGACTCAAAAGTCACCCAAACACCGAATGATGTACACGAAGTGCAATCTAACAGGTGTCAATCCAAATGTCACCCGTTCGATTGCTGCACATAGGTGCGGGGCGGACGTAAACAGCAATCTAGCAGGCGACACTTGATTGAGTTGATGAACGACCCAACCCACCAGGGACTTGTCCTTGTCATCCACAGCGCAGCACTCTCCTCCATGGCAGCAACAGTGGGTGCCGATCGAAACAGCAATCCCGCAAGTGGCTAATGAGCTAGATCACGAGCAACATCAAGACCTAGATCAACAGCTAGACTCACCAGGGGCTTGTCTTTGTCATCCACAGCACTCTTCTCCATCGCAGCAAGGGCCTCCAGCCCCCCCCCACTCTCCCAAACACGGAGTGCTTGTAGTTGAGGTGCGGGGTGGTGTGAACAGCACTCTAACACAGGTGACATCTGAGGTGACTAGCGACTCACCAGAGGCTTGTCCTTGTCATCCACAGCACTCTAACACAGGTGACATCTGAGGTGACTAGCGCACCACCCTCCCAAACACCGAGTGCTTGTAGCTGAGGTGCGGCACCGACTTGAACAGCACAAACAACTGCGATCCGTTGGAGTGCGGGCTGCTGTTTGCCACGGAGAGCAGGCCCCTCATGGCACACTCCCGTGACCCGATAAAGTGCGACCCACTATCAGCCACGTATGAACTCTACTGTTATAACTCACCAGGGGCTTGTCCTTGTCGTCCACAGCACTCTTTTCCATGGCAGCAAGTGTCTCTAGACCCCCCACCACGCGCCCAAACACGGAGTGCTTGTAGTTAAGATGGGGCGCCGATTTAAACAGCACGAAGAACTGTGATCCGTTGGAGTGTGGCCCGCTGTTGGCCATGGAGAGCACGCCCCTCTCGCTGTGCAGCAGGCGCGAGTCAAACTCGTCTTGAAACGGCTTGCCCCATGCAGATTGCCCTCCTTTTCCCGTCCCTGTTGGATCACCTCCTTGAATCATGAAGTTGCTGGTGAAGGGCGGGGAAGAAGGTGAAAGGAGGAGAAAAGGAGGAAAAAACGGAGGGAAAAAAGGAGGGAAAAAGGAAGGGAAAAAAGGAGGAAAAAAAGGAGGGAAAAATGGAGGGAAAAAAGGAGGAAAAAAAGGAGGGAAAAAAGGAGGTAAAAAGGGAGGAAAAAAAGGAGGGAAAAAAGGAGGGAAAAAGGGAGGGAAAAAAGGAGGGAAAAAAGGAGGGAAAAAAGGAGGGAAAAAAGGAGGAAAAAAAGGAGGAAAAAAAGGAGGGAAAAAGGGAGGGAAAAAAGGAGGGGAAAAAGGAGGGAAAAAGGGAGGAAAAAAAGGAGGGAAAAAAGGAGGGAAAAAGGGAGGGAAAAAAGGAGGGAAAAAAGGAGGGAAAAAAGGAGGAAAAAAAGGAGGGGGGATGGAGGCGAGGGGAGGGAGGGAGGGGGGGACAACAAGACTGATGAGTCGACTATGAAATCCGGAGGGACCCGCTATAGTGTGGCCTGCTATAGGCCATGGAGAGCACGCCCTTCTCGCTGTGCAGCAGAGGCGAGTCAAACCCATCAAGAAACGGCTTTGGCCCACGCTGCCTGGCCCCCTTGCTGGTGCCTGTTGCATCAAATCCTAGAATCATGAAGTTGCTGGGGGTGGGGGTGGGTGGGAGAAGACACCACAATTGTGTGCCGGATTGTGAAAGGTCGGCTCCTCCTGGCGGGCCAAACTACTACAGTGCGGCAAGAAGTCCAAACTTGGTTAAAGGAGCACTGCAGAGGAGGCTGCCGAACTGTATGATAGGTGAGTGTTTGTATCAGGCAGTCAGATCACTTGTCATAGAATTTAAGAGCTTCCTTTGCAGAGCTCCTGTGCCCAAGTTCGTGCTTCTTGCCGCACTGTAGTAGTACTTGGGTCCGCCAAGAGGATTCGACCTCTCACAATCCAACCCAACGTACGATAGTGGTGTGTCCACGATATCACAGTGCAGCTCCACACCATACTGTATGCATCATGGCACGCCACGTACCACTCCACATAGACCATACCGTGCGGCAACGTACCGTATGCACCGATGAAAGATGGTCCCGTTGTAATATCCCCTCTCTGCCAGGGTGAGGAAGTTCTCGCACGTTCTGGGCGCGATATCGCAGTGCAGCTCCACATTCAGGTCGCCCGCGCTCGTGTGCACGCGGCAGTACCCTTTCTTCTTCGGCTTCTTCTCCACCCGCACCATCTCATACTCCGTCGTCGTCACCGGCTCATACACCGTCGAAGTGAACGACCGTGTCGTCGCTCCTGACGTATACGCGCTCCGCACCAGCTTTGTGTTCTCCTTAATCAGCACACGCTGCCCCGCTGCATGTGCCGCGGCGCGCGCATGCGCCTTCTTATCATCCGTCGCCTTTGCAGCAGCGGCGCTACGACCAGAGAGAGCAGCGCTAGCAGCATCTACAATGCTCATAGTTGTGGTGGCGCCGGTGGCGATGGAAGGGGCTTCGACCTCCTTCTGCCTCTGCTTGATCTGCTGCTGGACGTGCTTCTTCTGCTGCTCTGCTTCCCGCTCCTCTCCCCTCTTCCGCTTCCCCTTCTCCCCGCCTTTTCCCCCTTTCCCACCAGTGCCTGACGCTCCTCCTGCCTCTCCCCGTCCCCCTCCCCCTCCCCCTCCCCCTCCCCCTCCTCCTCCTCCCTCTTCTCCTCCTGCTCCTCCCCCTCCTTCTCCCCCTCCCCCTTCCCCCTCTTGGGAAGCTAGAGCCTCTCTAGCAGCAGCAGCAGCAGCAGCAGCAACCTCCTCTGCTTTTCTCGCCTCTAGAGCCGCCATTGCTGCTGCTGCTTCCTTCCTCGCCTTGCTGCCTCCCCCCCCCAGCAGCAGCTGGGATGCACCCTGGCAGAAAAGAGGATTTAAAAAAAAAAAAAAAAAAAAAAAAAAACACAAAAAAAAAAAAAAAAAAACAAAAAAACTTGTTACTGATTGAAGAAATCATCAAACAATCCCAGCTAGATTATGAAGGATGAGGTGGTAGATTCGATTCGACAGACTTGTGGATAATTTCCAAACACAAGAAATTGGCAACCCACCTCCTACGAATAACTCACCCAAGACAAGCCCACCCCAACTTAGGCATGAGCGAAACCGGATATTTACCCGACCCGACCCGGTTTTGCTATACCCGACTTCGGGTCGGGTATTTTCGGGTCGGGTAACATGCCAAGGACCAATACCCGGACCCCGGATTTGGGAGCGGGTAATTTAATACCCGCCTGTCGGGTCCGGGTATACCCGACCCGCTTTCCTTGAAAAGCGGGGTAGTATTACCCGCGATTCCCTACCCTGTTGGGCTGCTAAACCTACGACCTAGATAGTGCTTAAAAAACGTGAGTTGCGGGAGGGAGTATGAGGTGCGCCAAATCTTTAACAGTTCTGCTGTGGTGAGTGGGGCGTGAGTGGGGAGTTGGTTGGGTTTTCTAGTTGGGATGGGGTTGTGTGCGGTTTTAGGGGGTTTGATTCTTTGACCCCCAGAGTCAATTGGTTGGAACTCCAACCAATGTGGTGTTGTGCAGTTGGTTGGATTCAGGTTGGGTTGCAAATTCGATTGGTTTGAATTCCAACCAATTTCCCCCAATTCAACTGCTCTGAATAAATCTGGATCTACGAAATCCAACCCCCGCCACTCTACAATGCTGTACGTGACCTAGCAGCTCACGTAACCTAAAAACTTGCTGAAATCTCTCTACCAGCGTGACCAATGTCGGGTCGGGTACCCGCTACCCGACATGTCGGGTAACGTTTCGGGTAACGGGTATCGAATACCCGCCCGGGTTACCCGGAGCCGACCCGCCGGGTAATATTCAGGAATCCTGATACCCGACCTGCCCTAAAAGCGGATCCGGGCCCGGGTACCCGACCCGCGCGGGTATTTTGCTCAACCCTACCCCAGATAAGCCCACACCAGACAAACCCACCCCAGACAAGCCCACCCCAGACAAGCCCACCCTAGATAAGCCCACACCAGACAAGCCCACCTTAGATAAGCCCACACCAGACAAGCCCACAACATACAAGCCCACCCCATATGACCCACCCCAGACAAGCCCATCCCAGATAAGCCTCAGACAAGCCCGCCCCAGATCACCCTTCCCCAGATTAACCTACCTTGGATGAACCCACTCCAGGCTCCTCTCCATCATTCTTGGGCAGGGCTGCCAGAACGCGCTGGATGCTCTCTGAGACTGCAGCGTTGACACCCGATGCTGCTCCCTCCTCGCCTGCAAGGGGACGAAAAGGGGTGGTTTGGAAGGACGAAAGGGGGCGGTTTGGAAGGACGAAAGGGGGTGGCTTGGAAGGACGAAAGGGGGTGGCTTGGAAGGACGAAAAGGGGTGGTTTGGAAGGACGAAAGGGGGTGGTTTGGAAGGACGAAAGGGGTTGGTTTGGAAGGACGATAGGAATGGATTGGGCTAAAGAAAGGGCTGCCAGAACGCGCTGGATGCTCTCTGAGACTGCAAGTTGACGCCTGATGCTGTGTCCTCGCCTGCAAGGGACGGAAAGGGGGTGGCTGGGAGGGAGGATAGGAATCAATTGGGCTCAACAAAGGGCTGCCAAAAGGCCCTGCATGCTCTCTGAGACTGCTGTTTTGACGCCTGATACAGTGGAGTCAATCTTTTTTTATTCTCAAAAGGTGACTTCTTGAGTCGACTCAAAAGACTGATGTGTTGACGCCTGATACAGGGGAGTAGGTTTTTAGAATTCTCAAAAATGGTGCTACTTCTCCGTCGTTGCCAATGAGCTCAACTGAAATGTTCCGTTACGCACGGTCCAAATCCTTGAGCATATTGAATCCAAATTGCGTGTCGCATGGTTCAAGCTTTAGAAAGATGAAATCTGACGATTTTGGGGCGTTTTTTCACGAAACTGGGGTTACACACACCGCGAAGGCACCAAATTTTCAAGTTCCCACAGGCCAAACCATGCAAACCCCCCAGTCTCGAAATGTTGACTGGGGGGTTTGCATGGTTTGGCCTGTGGGAACTTGAAAATTAGGGTCATTGCAATTTGGGACTTCTGCATCCGAACCCAACCAGTGCCCCTGGAATTCGCTGACTAAGCGAAACGAAATACACTCTAAGCGACACGTTTGCCGAAATCAACAATTTCGTCACTCACAAAATATCTAACTGTAGCACGTCATGTTTCTAAAGCATGAACGTTTTGGGGCGCGGGCTTTAAAAAACCAAATGATCTCCTCAAGGTTTACCTTGCTTCTGAGCTGAGAGATTCTGCTTGACATGGTCAAAGTCTGTGAGCAGCTCAGCAGGGGGGCTGCTGCGGAAGGAGGTAATCCCTTGACCTGCCCCGGTTTTACTGCTCAGTGCTCACCTTCTTTCTGAGCTGAGAGGTTCTGCTTCACATGGTCAAAGTCTGTGAGCACGTTGGCGTCCAGATTATTGGGGTCCTGCAAAGAGAGGGGGCGAGGGGGGGGAGTGGAGAGAATGCAGCATCAGGACAAGCCACAGGCAAGAGAGGTTCTGCTTGCCATGGTCCAGATCTGTGAGTACATTGGCTGGCGTCCAGATTGTTGGGGTCCTGCAGACAGAGGGGGAGAAAAGAGAATGCAGCAGCAGGACAAGGCACAGGCAAGAGAGGAACTAAGGAAACCAAAGGTTCTCTTTCACATGGTCAAAGTTAGTGAGCACGCTGGCGTCAAGATTGTTGGGGTCCTGCAACGAGAGGGGGAGTGGGGGGGAGTGGAGAGAATGCAGCAGCAGGAAAAGGCACAGCGAAGAGAGGAACTAAGGAAACCAAAGGCTCTGCTTCACATGGTCAAAGTCAGTGTGCACGTTGGCGTCCAGATTATTGGGGTCCTGAGGGGAGTGGGGGAAAAGCAGTGGGATAAAAAGGAACCAAGAAGAAAGCAAGAGACAAACTGGTCGATCAGGGCAACAAGAAAATGGCTTGCTGCATAACTCTCTGTGTGAGGGGTAAACTGTAAACAGGGTAAATAAACCGGGTAAACATTAAGCACTGTTTCGCTGCAGGGGATCGTCAAGATGGAAATGCAGCAAATGAAATGCTGATGACGTCACTTGCCTGAATGGTGATGATGTCAGCACGTGTGAAGGGCTCGTCTGTGAGAAGCTCCTTCCAGTTCTTGGGCTTTATGTTCAGCTCCTTGATCGCCTGGGGGATAGATTGGGGGGGGGGGGGGGGGAGGGATGAGGGGGAGGGTGGGGGGAAAGGGGGGAATGTAGGAGGCGAGGGGGATATTGGATTCGACCCAGCAGTCTGTGAGCAGCTCCTTCCAGTTCTTGGGCTTCACGTTCAGCTCCTTCATGGCATGGGGGGGAGAGAGAGGGGGGGGGAGGAAGAAAGCAGGGGAATGGAAATGGTAGAGAGGACGAGGGAGGTACAGCCTTGAGTGAAGGGCTCGTCTGTCAGCAGCTCCTTCCAACTCTTGGGCTTCACGTTCAGCTCCTTGATCGCCTGGACAAGTTGGGGAGGAGGAAGCGGATGGAGGGTGGAGAGTTAGACTTTGAGACGACACAGAAGGCTGTGAGCTGAGCAGCTCCTTCCAGCTCTTGGGCTTCACGTTCAGCTCCTTGATCGCCTGGGGGTGAGGAAGAGGAGGAGGAGGAGGAGGAGGAGGAGGAGGAGGAGGAGGAGGAGGAGGAGGAGGAGGAGGAGGAGGAGGAGGAGGAGGAGGAGGAGGAGGAGGAGGAGGAGGAGGAGGAGGAGGAGGAGGAGCATGAGGTTGGAAGGGAGAACCTTCCGAGAAGCATGTCCGAGAAAAGCAACCCGTTTATCACATAGCATCAGTTATTTCTTATATCGTAGGTGAACACGCTGGTCCCTACTCCCTCCTTTTCCACTTATTCCTCCCGTTTTTCACCACATTATTCCCTTTTCTCACATTTTTCCCCTCCCTTCCCTCTCTCCCGTCATAGCAGAACACGCTGCTGCCGGTTGTCTTGACACCCGCGAACGACGGGAAAACGTTGGATTCGATCCAGAGGTCATGGAGTCATGTCAAACGCTGAATGAGCAACACTTGTACTGGTAAAAGAACAGCTTTATTCAACATTCAATGGTCATTCTTTCCTCTTGTATCATAGAAGCGAAAGTGTTGTGTGACATTGTAACGAGGTGACTCAAAAGTCACAGCTTTATTCAACGTTGAATGGTCATGGTCATGGTCATTCTTTCCTCTCGTCTCATAGAATCAGCCACTTCTTTCTTACCTCGTAGCAGAACACGTTGCCCGTTGTCTTGACAGCAACGATGTGGGTAAACTCAGTAAACACCTTCTTCAAAACAGGGCAGTGGTACTCGCCTGAGAGGAAAGGGAATCGAATCGAGTGTGAGGGGAGGGATTGAGAGTGAGAAAGGTGCAAAGAGAGGAACGCACAATGGCAGCATGAGACACGTGTCACGGGATGGATGGATGGAGAGGAAGAAAGGATGACGGAAGAGCGAATAAAAGCAGAATGTATGGGTAGAAGAAGTGAGAATTTCGGCGTGTGCAAACAGGGAGGACACAGGGAACCGGAAACAGGAGCAGAGGAGGAGGTGAGGAAGCAGGGAGGGCGATGGAGTGTGGAGAAGCTGGACTCCGGCGTGTGAAGAGTCTATTATTGGGGCGCCTAAAAAATAGACTCCTCACGATGGAGTGTGGAGAAGCTGGACTCCGGCGTGTGAAGAGTCTATTATTGGGGCGCCTACAAAATAGACTCCTCACGATGGAGTGTGGAGAAGCTGGACTCCGGCGTGTGAAGAGTCTATTATTGGGGCGCCTACAAAATAGACTCCTCACGATGGAGTGTGGAGAAGCTGGACTCCGGCGTGTGAAGAGTCTATTATTGGGGCGCCTAAAAAATAGACTCCTCACGATGGAGTGTGGAGAAGCTGGACTCCGGCGTGTGAAGAGTCTATTATTGGGGCGCCTACAAAATAGACTCCTCACGATGGAGTGTGGAGAAGCTGGACTCCGGCGTGTGAAGAGTCTATTATTGGGGCGCCTAAAAAATAGACTCCTCACGATGGAGTGTGGAGAAGCTGGACTCCGGCGTGTGAAGAGTCTATTATTGGGGCGCCTAACAAATAGACGACTCCTCACGATGGAGTGTGGAGAAACTGGACTCGGGCGTGTGAAACGTTGTGGGGCGTAGCAAAATCGTGGGGCGTTCTGACAAGGGGAGCTGAAGGCGGGATATTATTCACGATTTTTGAGTCGACTCAAAACATAATCCGTGTGTAATGAGTCGATTTTTGAGTCGACTCAAAACATAATCCGTGTGTAATGAGTCGATTTTTGAGTCGACTCAAAAATCGACAAGGGGAGCTGAAGGCGGGATATTATTCACGAATGAGTGAACGGTGGACGGGCGGACGGACCATCAGCGCTTTTGTGCAAGTGGAGAATCTGATTGATCAGGTGGCCCTTCATTCAATCAGATGACTCTTGAGTCAACTCAAAAGAAAAGGGAAGCTGTAGCCTGTAGGTGGAATAACCATGATTCAAGAGTGAGCAGCAGCGGACGGATCATCGGCGTTCTTGTGGAAATGGAGCTTGATCAGGTCCTTCAGTTTAGTTGAATGCCAGAGAGCATGATGGAGATCGCAGGATGAAGAGAGCAGGCAAGCAGAGAGACTGTAAGATGTATTTTGAGTCGACTCAAAATACAGATGTCAAACAAAGACGGTGGACCAACGGATGGACGAACCATCGGCGTTCTTGTGGAAGTGGAGCTTGATCAGGTCCTTCAGAGCAAAAGGCTTGCCGGTAACCGGGTTACGCTTGAACTTCTGGATGTACGGAACAATGTTGCTGAGAAAATCAAACGGGTTAGAAATGAAACAAAGAGATGGAATGAGTATGTACAGCCTTTGAGTCGACTCACAAGTGGACAGCCTAAGATAGTAGATCAAGCCCCAAACTAGGAAATACAAGGGATTAATTCAGTAATCCAGGTGCATTACACTGTGACGCAAGTGGAAACGTGCCTGATCAATCAAGAACTAGCACACAGAAATGCATGCTGTTACAACATAAGAGAGAAGTACATGGATTGAACCATGATACATTGGGGCACAGAAATCGGTTAACCTGGGAAATTTAGTTGATGTCCAAACGAGCGAGGCTTACACAATATCGAAGACGTGGCCCTCTGGAGAGCAAACTGGGTCTTCGAAAGGAGTAAAGGAGACCCTGCAAACGGGGATGATTGGCCAGGTAACGGGATCCAGATGGATTTAAAGCCAGACAGATCAAGCCAAGGGTGACTATGGGAATTAAAGCTATCAGGATTAAGCCGAGGGTGACTAAAGTGAATGGGGAGTGGAGGTGAAGGTAAGAGTTCCAAATTCCAAATTAAACAAATCCAAATCAGAAAAGGTGAGTAAGTGTAACTGTGTAACATCACACGGACAGGTTGAGGCGAGAATCGCATACGTGAAGGAGGGGGGGAGAGAGTGCGGGTGGCAGGTGGAGGGAGAAGGATTTGGACCAAAGACACTTAAAGCAGACAAGGTGAACGCATGGCGACCGATTGAGACGAGCGTCAGTCGTGTACGCACAGCAGTAGAAGGCGAGGCGGCGGAAGCTGAAGGTGTGGGGGTCCGATGATAGCGGTAGCGAGATTGATGGTAACGGGGATGAAGGCTCACGTACGCACAGCAGTAGACGGGGAGGGGGCGGAGGGGGGTGCGGGAGTCTTGCTGTGTTGCTTCTTACCCATCCCCGCTAACTATGAGCGGCAGCGAGTATGATTATAACGGGGTTTGGATACGTACGCACAGCAGTAGAAGGGGAGGCGGCGGAAGGGCGTGCGTTGGTCTTTCGCCTTTGCTCCCCCCCACTCCGAGGCCCACTCCGTTGTGGTGATGAACATGCGGTCCTTGCTGTGCTGCTTCTTGCCCATCTTGGTGGACTACTATGAACGGTAGCGGATGTGTGTGTAACGGAGATAAGGACCAAAAGCCGGAAATCCACGACGCGACTGGGCAACTGACGACGAGATAGAGCTGCCTGAATTAGGTCACTCACGGTAGGAGCCACGGTAGGAGTAACAGAAGAAGCAACCTAACTCTAGAGTTCATGCGAATTTCAACAGGAGAGGCAAATGGGCTTCAACGCGAGAAACAGTGGGTTCTGACTTTGAGCTAGTATTTTCCGGCAACCTGCTGTAACTTCTGCTGTGTGCCCCGAAACTCATTTTCGCATGCCTGAATTCGCTAATGAAATACTTTTTATCGGATGATTGTCGCCAGCATTCCTCTAGCGATTGTCGTCGCGAGCGCACGCGACTTGTTTCTCGAAACCGCACTGCAGCTGACGAGGATCCACTTCGCACGGCAATCCCTGTTGGCAGGGAAGCTCCCAGCGAAATTTTCGTAAAGCAGCCCTGAAACGCCAAAAACGGGGCCACCCGCCCGGGTTTGGGGGTCCTGTTAGCCGGCGACGAATATTTTGCTTCGCGAGGCAGTCCTGGTTACTAGAAACGTTCATTGCGACCCTTGAGAGTTTCGTCAGCCACTCGGACCTCCCAAAAGAGCCCACCTTGGGATTGGTTGGTTGATCTTTCTGACCCTTGAAATTCCTGCATGGGGGGAATAATCTCGGTTGGACAGGTTTAGAATGAGCTAAGTTGGTTTGGGTTGGGTTAGGTAATCGTGCACAGGCTGTCTTGGTCTCGGCGGGGGAAACTCGCTCCCTCAGTTATTACGCTTCAGGCTGAAGCATAAATTTCCGAGGCACGCCTTTCCACTGGAGATTTCCCGCCGAGTTAGAAGTAGCGTGACGGTCACAGACGTGTACAGTATTCTACTAGCGTGGACTATTTCTTGTGCCTTGTCTTGCATCAGTCTCCAAAGAAATTCTCTTTGTCGTGGATTCTTTCTGTTGCGCATTCGTATTCTTTCCACGGGGAATCGTAGTCACCATGCTTATCAACCAGGACCTCCCGGATTTTCCGAACCCGTTTGACAATGCGGGAGACTATTCCCTAGGCTTCGAGGTGAAGACCCTGAAAGAGCAGCTGCTATGCCACGTCATGGGAAGCATCCGCGAAAAGACGGACTGGATGCGGAAAGTCATGGACGATGTGATTGTAGCGAGGTGGAAGGAGGAGCTGACGAATCCCGTCCGGCCGGCTAAATCGTACTTTGTGCAAGAAGAAAGGGACGTGTCTCTTGAGGACCCTGGCAGCGTGGTTACTTTTCTGAGGGACAACGGCAAAAGGGTTGTCAAGGTGACACTTTTCGTCAAACTCTCACCATGATGGGAAAGAAAAAGAGAGAGAGAAAAAAGGAGAACGAGCCACATTTGTATTGAGTCTGACTTTCAGGACTTGCTTCCTTTCTGTCTCATTAACGCATCCGCTGCTTCTTCTTTCCACCTGACGCTCCCCCTGCTTCCCTGTTCATGTGGTTTGTCCCATTTTGCTTGGTACCTCTCATCCAGGTTGACCCCGATCTCGTTGACTACGCCATTCAGGAGCTCCGCTGGCAAGCCATCTCTCACGATCCCTCCTCTCCAGTTATGCCAAGTGCTGTTGACGGAGTCTTCATCATTCCTTCCGCCTCCTTTCCGCCTGACGTGCTCCAGCCATTTCTGGAAGGCATGCATCGCCTGGAGTCAGTTCCTGAGGACCAGATTGACTATCACCCGGGGTCAAGCAAGCAGGTTGTTGATCTGGTGCATCCGTCCCTCCATTGCCTCGTCTATGGCCGAACCAGGGTCATTACCGAACCTGACTATACTACCCTGGACGTCTTGCCCTGGGACAGGTTGGTCAGTGAGCTAGGCTCGGTTCCTGAGGCTGGTCAGCTGGCAGGCTCGGGAGGGGAACAAGGAGAGGGGAGTCAGACTCGGAGGAGGAGGAGGAGGGTGGAGGATGAGTTCCTTTCGGATAGATTTCAGTGGCTGCCCGCAGAAATCGATGTTTCGGCGGATGGGCAGAGTGCAAAGTTCCGGTCGTACATCAACAATCTGCATCCGCTCGAGTTTACAGAAACTTATCAAAGCCTGGAGAAGATATTTGCGACTGCATTCGTGCCTCTCTTCAATCGGGTGCTGACTGAGTCTGCCAATCCTCGACCACTGCGGATTACTGCAGACCCATACAGGTATGGTCTGGTCAAATATGTGTCCTTTCCATGCTATTATGGTGCATGTTTGACGCCATAAACATGCAAATCATGTGGTCGGAGCCAAGGAGCTAGAACTCACCAGGAGCCAACCGCCTAAGAGCGCATGCACTCGCTCCATGTCCCCCCCAAACCCTTGCAGCTGGTATGATGGCTGGAGGGGTGATCGAGAGTATGACTTGGATGATGACGAAGACAACGAGGCATGGACAGAAGACAGGGAGCCTGTGCAACCAGAGGTGCCGGATTTCTCACCTCCCCCAGAAACCCCCCCAGAGCGGGTGGTGAAGTTGCAGGGGAGGCGACTGCAGGTGATAGTGAAGGCTGCGTCTATCTGTCTCACCCTGGACCAGCCCAAGTACCCAGGAGGCACGTGGCATGTGGAAGGGATGAGGAACGAAAGCATTGTGGTGAGTCACTGCTCTATCTGTTCGTCTGCAACTGCTGGCTTCTACCTTGCCTCTTATGTAATCAGGATTTTCATGAGTTGTACTCATCCATGCCGGTTTTCTTTCCCTCAGATAGTGATTGCCCTGATTTATCCCGCATTCGCCTCTCTCCGCAGGCCACTGGCATCTATTACTACGGCATTGAGAACATCTCAGAGTCGCGCCTTCAGTTCCGGCACACGGTCAGGGAGCCAGACTACGAGCAGGACGATCGCAAGGGGGTCAAAATGGTCTATGGACTCGTCGACGAAGGCCCCCTCGTGCAGCCCCTAGGCTCGGTCCAAACCTCCACACCAGGCCTGTGCCTGGCCTTCCCGAACCACTACCATCACTGCGTGGCTCCATTCGAGCTTGCTGACAGTACCAAGCCGGGGCATCGCAAGATCCTGGTCTTCTTCCTAGTGGACCCCATGTCCCGAGTTTTATCCACTGCCAGGGTGCCACCTCAGCAGCTGGCCTGGAGGCGCAAGGAACTGGACAGGAAGGGGAATCCATGTGGTAGCCTGCCTTCACTAGCATTGGACTTGGTTGCAGACAGGCTGATTGCGGGTAGAGAAGCAGTTGGGCTGAGTTGGGAAGAGGCGAAGAGGTATAGGGACGAGTTGATGGAGGAAAGGAAGGCACTGGTGAGGAGGGCAAATGAAGAGCTATTTGAGAGGCCCTTCTCGCTTTGCGAGCACTAGTTCCACATGTGCTGTTGTAAATTGCCTGTATCTATGACATGCTTTAGGTTGGGATGAAATTGTGTTCAGGGTTGTAACTGGGCTGTAATATTCCACTGTACAGAACAAACATCGTCACACCACAGCAGGAATACTAAAACCTGTTGGAAATATCTCAAAGACTTGCGTTTCTGAAGTGTAAACACTACACTTGAGGAAAGCCATAACGGGTACGCGAGTCAACGGAGGTTACACGAAGGGGCGGACAAAGAACACGAATGGACACGAAGAGTCGCAACCGGAGGTTGCGACCGACTGTTACAACTGCAAGGATGGTAACAGAACCGTCAATCGAGTCGCTGTGCGACTCGAAAAACCGATCCTTTAACTGTATTCTACAACTGCTTTACCTTCCTACTTTCTATATATTGATGTAGAATTGTTTCTTTTAATCAATCACTTGTTCTCATATACTAGTACAAGGGTTCAACTACTCAACTTCCACTGCACTACTCAAGTTTTTTACAACTGGGACTTAGTCTCTGGAAAGATCCCAAGGGCATTTCTCAGCCCAACATGGTATGAGAGCTGGTCAGAGACCAAACTCCCAGCAACTACACTCTATCTACAATCTGCAATTCAACGACTCCATTGATTACAAGTCATGGACAGCAAGGGCAAGAAAATCTCCACGGGCTCACCCAGCACCCAAGACACTCAACCCGGCAACTCTGGACTGCACACTTCAAGACTGCAAACCGAGACCGGCGCTGCTCAAGAAACAACAGGAAGAGCACCGGAAATGGTGACCCCATCACCCTCTTCAAGCGTGGATCCAAACCTTATGGAAAGGTTCTTCAGCTTCATGTCGCACTTCGACCAGCAGCAGCAGACAAGGACACCTGCGCATTCAATACAGAGCAACGGAGGAAACATGAGATTAGCGCCGATGAGCCTCGACAACTCATCGTTCGGGCGACACAATCAAGCGCCTACCTTTGCGCCTTATCACTCTTCACCGGGGACGTTCGAGTTCATGCCGCCCCATGCCCAACCAACAGCAGCTGCATCACAACAGACACCAAACGAGATTTTAAGTCTCCAGGCGCAGTTTTCCCACGTGATTAAACTGCAGACATCCTCACCATTCAACGGACACGATTTCTTTATCTGGAGCTTTGAGTTCGAGCTGCTGATGGAGGCTGCGCATCTCTTGGGATACTTCAACGGGTCCCTGCCATTTCCAAGCAACGGCACTGCGAAAGACCAAGAAATTTTTACATATCAGTCGCTGCTGGCGTACACAGTCCTCCTGCGAAACCTATCACTACAAGAGCAGCAAAGCATCAGAACGTATCGAAGCTATGGAAACTCCGCAGAACTCGCATGGCATCACCTCAAGTGTCTCTATCAAGCAAACGACAGCGTGACACAAAGCAGACTCATGCAGCAACTGACAACAATACAGATGAAGACCGGAGAAAAGGCGATGCAGTATATGAGTCGATGCCAGACACTCCGAGACCGCCTGCTTGAGGAACAATCACTGAAGAAAGCTTCGTGACGCTTGTCCTCGCTGGGCTCGGGCCAGAATGGAGAACCACCCGCTCGCTCCTTCGCGCCCACGGACGAATCTCGGAGATGCACCTCTGCGCCGAGCTTCATGCTGAACAACAGGAGATGGACCTGTTTGAAGAAAGACAACCAAGAAAGCAGCAACCGTTAGTCTTCTACACTCAACGAAGGAACGACAACAACTACAATCGATGCGGGAAGCAAGAACAACGTGACAACAGAGGACTCACCATTGTGCCGCCGTTCTGCCACAACTGCCAAACATCCGGACACTCCAAAGTCAACTGCACACGTCCCCGAGCTTACCGTCCAGTAGACCCACAAGTCGCTTCCATTCAAGAAAGCCCGCCAAGGCGCTCCTCCACATCTGCGCAAAGTACACCGAACATCATCAACTGCATGATACACATCGACAGCTGCACACCCGGATCACCACCCACTTACGCTCCAGACGAAGAAGAACTGTCGCCGCCGCGCTCACAGGGACTCTAGGTCAACCCAACGTACGCTGCATTCGCCAACTCCGAACCCACCGGACGCAACACTTGGTTCTTGGACAGCTGTTGCGGCCAACACATGTGTTCTTCCGGGGGTTTCGTGCAGCGAGAACGACGTCTCAACCGAGACGTCATCATCACCGTCGCCAACAACGAGAACCTGAAGACAAACAGACAAGGAGTGGTTCAGTTACAATCCATGGAGACAAACGTTATACTGCAACTCAACAAGGTCCTCATTGTCAACAACTTGGGATACAACTTACTAAGCGTCAGCCAGTTAATGGCAAAGGAATTCACCTGGAGTGCGACTCGGACTCCAACGAGTTTCGCCTCTACCATGGGAAGGGCGGTCTCTTCATCGGTCGAGCTCTCCTGAAGTCTGGCGTCTTCGTGTTGGACTTCGTCCCCGACCGCGGTACTGCCGACAGCGATGGCATCATGTCATTCGTAACCTGGACGCACCCACCGGATCTTGACCCCGACTTCAACCCCGACGGATTCTGGTACTCCAACACCATACCTGCAGCATAGAGAACACGAGCGTTAGCAGTCATCAGACAAGAAAGACAAGTACCAGCAAGCGTCCCTTCCCAACCATCACCTGCAGCAGCAGCAGCAAGACCCAGCCAAGTACCACCACCAACGATCCGAGGACCACCAACCGAAGCAGATCAACTTATGCCCATCACACGAGAAGTCTGCCGAAGTCCCGCCACGGTCGTCGCGTTCTTCTCCAACACCGACATGTACCAACGCTCGCCCGGTCATCGCGCCTCCGACGACATCTGGCACCAACGCCTTGGGCATCCTGCAAATAGCACGGTACTACAAACCATCCAAGCCGAAGTGTTAGAACGAAACGCTCTCCTTACAACAAGCGGACAGGAACTTCGACGACCTCGCGCACGGTGCTTCACATGCCCCGAAGCAGACCTTCAGCACCAACCTTTTCCGTCACATCACAATCCAAGCGCACCTGCATACGCACCGATGGAAAAGGTTTACAGCGACATCTTAAACATGCCTCGAGACGACACTGAAGCCGACTTCAACTATGTCATAACGTTCATCGATGCAGCAACAAGATATGTCTGGCACTACAACCTCAAGACGAGAGACCAAGCCTTCGAAGCCTTCAAGACGTGGCTTCCCATCGCTGAACGAGAATCAGGAACGAAGCTCAAAAGCTTCCAGTCAGACGGCGCACTGGAATACCAGTCACAACGCTTCAGGACCTACTTGGCGGAAAGAGGAATCAGACGCTTGGTGTCTCTGCCCTACGCTCACCAGCAGCAGGGGATCGCAGAAAGAATGAACCGGACCTTGCAGACGACGATGCGAAAGCTGCTCCTAGGGATGAGACTGCCCAACGCACTGTGGCCAGACGCGATGACCCATGCAGTCCACCTGCACAACCTGCTATCCCCGTCATAACTTCCCAACAACGCATCACCGCACCTGCTGTGGACAAGAAAAAGGGGCAGCACAAAATTACTTCGGGTTTTCGGCTGCATGGTACAGTACAGACCCCACACACCCAGAGCAGGATGCTTCACTCAACGAGCACGATGGGGACTACACCTCGGCATCGCCGAACATTTTCAAGCATGGAAAATCCTCGACATACAAGACAAAAATACCGTGGCATCACGTGATGTGATCTTCTACGAACGACTGACGCTGCAGTATTACCTGGACAACGTCGCCAACACAGACGACCCCACCGAAGGTGTCGCAGGCCTTCGCTCCTTCGCTGACCGTGCTGCCGAGGCTGACGCAGCAGAAGAAGACGTACCTGGAGCTTCGGAAGCTGCCGGACCACTCCCTTTCTGTTCCGTACCTGTTCCACTCGACGAAGACAATCCTCTCGATAGCAACAACCTCGACACCCTCTACTACTTCGCTGACCAACGTTACGCTACACCTCACCCGGTCGACACGAATATCTCAGAACGCATCGTCCCCGACTTCTTACCTGATCCAGAAGATGGTGACGAAGCAGCCTATTACGGGAATGAAAATTCCCCTCGACACACACCCATGGGACTGCAAATCCTCGGCTTATGGGTCTCCGTCCAGCACCCGCCGCCGCCATCTCCGCGCGAGCCAACGACTCTGTCGCAGGCTCTGGGGGGGGAACACAAGGCGAAATGGAAGGAGGCAATGGAAAAGGAACTGAAAGCTTTGCAAGACCGAAATACATAGAAGCTGGTACCTGCTACGAACGTCAACGGGAAGAACGTTCTCTCGGGAAAATGGGTGTACCGCATCAAGACCAATGCGGACGGCTCCATCGAACGATTCAAAGCTCGCTGGGTCGTACGAGGCTTCGATCAACGATACGGAACCGACTACACAGAAACATTCGCCCCAGTCTCCCGTCACACCTCCTTGCGCATCCTACTCGCCGTCGCGGCCACGAATAAACTACCACTGTGCCCAATCGACGTCGCAAATGCTTTCCTGTACGCACCTGTGGACGCCGAGATCTTCGTCGAGCAGCCCCACGGATTCATCGACGACCCCACAAAAGTATGCCAGCTAATAAAATCCCTTTACGGGATCAAGCAAGCCCCGCGGCTTTGGCAGCAGCACCTTCACGGTCGCCTCGTCGGAATCGGATTCCTATAACTGCCGCACGACCAAGGCATGTACCAGACTACAGAAAGGAAGGGAATTCATCCTACTCATCGTCTACGTCGACGACCTGCTCTACATCGGCTCCACTACTGGCATCGCCACCTGGTTCGAAGGGGAGCTAAAATGGGACTTGACACTCACGGTGTCAGACACCGTAACCTAGTACCTGGGTCTGAACGTCGTCGAAGACAACTCGGCGTTCTACTTATATGCTGGAAAATACGTAGGTGTCGTCGCAAAGAAGTTCGGACTAACACCAACTACAGTCGCGACTCCCTACCGCTACGGGAACAACAACGACACCTCCGCAAAACTCCCCGCGAAGCAAATCCGGGAGTATCAGCCGAAGCTCGGCTGCCTACTATTCGCAGCAGTAACCTGCCGACCTGATCTATCCTACAGCGCAAGCCAGCTGGCGACGCACCTGAAGCAGCCGGAACAAGAAGATCTCGAAGAACTAAACCGGGCACTACTCTACTTCGTCTCTACGCCAACGACCGGACTTACCTACAGCAAAGTAACAACATCATCCGTACAACTACTCGGATACGTCGACGCCGACCACGCGAGAGATAGGGAAAATCGACGATCGAGAACGGGCTACATCTACCGACTAGAACCTATCGGGACTATCTCCTGGCAGTCGAGGAAACAGGAACTAATCGCACTATCTTCGGCTGAAGCAGAATACATCGCCCTCTGCACTGCAACCAAGGAAGGACTCTACCTGCGAGAGTTGCTCGAGGAAGCGAAGATTGCGACCCTGTCCGTCTTCTCACTCCTCTGCGACAACCAATCTGCGATCAAAATCGCGAACAAGGACGGCTTCGCCAACCGAACCAAGCACATTGCCCTGCGGTACTTTTTCGTCAAAGATGAAATCGCGAAGGGGAGACTTCAACTCAGTTACTGCCCTACAACAGAAATGGCCGCAGACTACCTGACGAAGAAACTGGCGAAAGCAAAGTTCGACCACTGCATGCTACTGACCGGGCAGATAAACGTCGCCGAATCTGGACACGTCAGCACTCCAGAAACGAAGGGGAGTGTTGGAAATATCTCAAAGACGTAAGCGTTTCTGAAGTGTAAACACTACACTTGAGGAAAGCCATAACGGGTACGCGAGTCAACGGAGGTTACACGAAGGGGCGGACAAAGAATACGAATGGACACGAAGAGTCGCAACCAGAGGTTGCGACCGACCGTTACAACTGCAAGGATGGTAACAGAACCATCAATCGAGTCGCTGTGCGACTCGAGAAACCGATCCTTTAACTGTATTCTACAACTGCTTTACCTTCCTACTTTCTATATATTGCTGTAAGCTTGTTTCTTTTAATCAATCACTTGTTCTCATATACTAGTACAAGGGTTCAACTACTCAACTTCCGCTGCACTACTCAAGTCTTTTACAACTGGGACTTAAGTCTCTGGAAAGATCCCAAGGGCATTTCTCAGCCCAACAAAACCATATAATGAAATAATCCAAATAACCACCCGAGCCAAGCATCCATAAAACGGTTGCACTTAACCCAACCTTTCTCGACTAATCCCTCGAGCCTCAACCTCCCAGGCTCAACCCCCATAATACCTATCCAAGTTGCGCGACCGAGTACACGCCTCGGCATCTGCCTCCCTACAGATGGTCTCGAACACTGGCAGCCGCCGAGGACTGCCCTGAGGGGTGGAAAATGCGCTGCCTGAGGACGATGAGGCGCTCCTGGCAATGGGAAGAGAGAGCTGAGACTTGAAGGGAGATGGAACCAGGCCCACACCAGATCCAGCTATACGAGAGCTGCTTGTGTGGGCCTGAATGGGAGAAGCTCCAATGGCTGGGGAGCTTGCTGCTGACGTGGAAGCTGAGGTGTAGTGAATGAACCGGCAACGCGTGCCGTAAGGACATGTTCCATTTAGATTGAAAGTCCTACACACCTGCCAAGTGGAGAAAAAACCAATGATATCAGCAGGAAAGCATGAACAATCTCTCAGACTCTCATACAGCATGCAACCCAACAACAAAATCTAAGAATGGCTCACCTCAGTTTTGTACTTGGGATGGCGTGCAACAGCTCGAAGCTCATCCCTTCCATGTGCAAACTGGCACTTTCCCCCGTAGCGGCAGGCGCCAGTCTCTTCCCATGACCGGCACAGCTCAGTCTTGTACAGCGGATTGGATGGACTGGCAGCACCTGCAGCACTGGCAGCTGCAAATGCGGCAGTAGAAGCTGCTGCTTCTGCAGCAGCCGCAGAAACTACTGATGGAGATGGCACTGAATCAAAGTGTGCTGCGCTGGACAGAGAGCGGGCTAGAAGTGAAGGAGTTGGTGGAGCGGGAGATGAAGGACCTGACATAAATCCAGAGAAAGCTGGGCCTGGCACCGCCCTCAAAACTCCCCACTTCTCCACTTTCAAGATTTCGTGAAGCCCACCAGCTGGAACGACTTCCTGCCTTGCAGTGGCTACAGTGGCAGGATATGAATCTCCAGGTGTAGCCAGGTTGGAAGACGAGGCGTTTGATGCCATGCTCCCTCCTCCTGACCATAGCTTGTGCCACCCTGGGGTTTTTGAAGTTACTGAAGTGCCCAAAAATTCGGGGTCAGAATCAACAGATGCTAACGAAGGAGCAGGGAGTGGCTGGTTGGGTCGTGGGTTGAAGGAACTGAGCTGTCCTAGGGGAGCTTGAACTGATGGAATGTAACTTCCTGGAAGCATATTCCCAGAAAATCCACGAGGGCCAGAGAAAGTTTCATAAGGCCCTGCATCACAAGTTTGGTTGAGACGTGTCAGCAGCACTGATAAAGTCACAAGCAAAGTCGTCAAGGAAAGGGAATCTAATCCATACCTGGAGAAGCAAGGAAACTTGGAATCTGGAGAGATGGAAGCGCCAAAAGAGCTGCCCTTCTAGCTCGCAAGCTGGATGTTGCAGCGACAAGCTCCGATGTGGTTGGACCAGAAAGCCCTGGAGTGCCAGTGGATGACCTCCCTGATCCATTCTGGTACAAGGGAGTCCACACTTGAGGCGTTGTTGGCAGTGAAATGGAGCCACTGCTCTGTGATGGAAATCCAATCGAGCTCGCCAGGTCAGCAGGGTGAGGGGAGGGTGTCGTTGCACCAGGGATTTCTGAACCTGACGGCTCCAGAGCTGAATCATCACGGAGATGCGGGGGGGTTGAGACAGGAACAGGATGGCTTTTCTGGAGTTGCTGAATTCCTTGAACTTGGGTGTCCCCTTTAGCCATGTCAGATTCACCTGCATAATGAGGAAAGAAACAGCTAAGATTAAGAAACAATGCTCTGCCTTGTAAATGCACCATAGCTATCCTGAATACTCACTTTCGCTGTCTTCAGGATCAAAACCTTCAAGCTCAGATTCAGTAGTTGGGCTTAAACCAACACCCATGTCGTGAAGTGACTTAATAATGAAGCTGTTAGGTTTCCCATCAGTACAATAAGTAGAACCTTCCTGCTTCAAATATTCTTCAGCAGCAAACGCAGCAGCCATAGCGGCCCTTTCTTGGTTTAGCTGGACACATTTCTGCGAAAAAAAGGCATAGAAAGGGTAAACAATATTTACAGAAATGAAATTGGGGAAATAAACACAAGTGACTCTGAGAAGCTTACCCTGAACAAAATATGCTCTCCAGAAGAACCTCTAGTAGCAGCGTGGGCACGACTGCCACATCCTCGGCCAAAGGATCTCCGTCCACCTCCTCCGCTCACTGCTGCTGCCAGTCCAATCTGACTGTTCGGATAGGAAGACGATGCAGCACGTGCATTCGTCCCCCTGTGAGTGCTGACCTCCGAGAGACGCACCGGTTCAACCAGGCTTTCATTTTCATGATCTGAATGGATAAGGCTGGAGCCACCATGGCTTATTTCACTGGAGCACGGCTGAAGCTCTCCTTCACTAGCAGTGGAGCTCTCGCCTCCGCTACCCCTCGTATCTCTCATGCTCGAGCCACGTGAGGCCGACGAGACGACCTGGGACTGCCGGAACCCAATAAGCATGTTCATGGTTGCAATCTGGAAACCTCAGCATCGATGAATAACAAAGTAAAGCCTGTCAAAACGAGCCGCCACGCGTCACCTCTGGTTCCTCCTCGCGGAAAATGAGACGCAGAAACCTCATCGTCGAGAAGGACGAGGCGAAGGACCAGCAGAAAGAAGAAACCCTTGTGAGCACAAGAAGTGCCGGACGAGCCAGACTGGCCAGACTGAAGGCTCATCCCCTCAAGTTTCCGAGCTTGCATCGCGACAATTTTAGCTGTCGGACGAAGGAAAGCACACACGGCGGAGAAGGAAACCCTCGCGATGAGGTGTCAGGATTCAAGAGTCCCAGCCATGGTGGTAAGCTCTCCAGCATGGCTGTTGCGTCGCTCTCAGAACGAATCCGGTTATCCATGACCTCTCAGGAAGCTCCTACAGGGGAGTAACCTAGAGATTATCATCTGAGGAATTCCATGAGAGACCAGCATGATAGACGAGCTGGTGTCATGATGCGCTGAGAGTGTAGCCGTGGATTCAGGCATGCGGGGGACAGGGTGGCTCTTTGTGCCACGGCAGCAATTCACGGAAAGGCTCACACACCAGCCCATGGAGATCAGCGCCTGAAGGCTATTCGATGCTTCGCTACAGAAGTTCCATTACTCGATAAGGTTAGTTCATGACAGGTTGACATTCATATAGGAGAACGTGCAAGATTGGTGAACATTAGAATATATAATGATTGAAGTCATAGCACAGACATAAGAGGCAAAACAGGCACGATGTTACATATGGTAGATACAAGAGTGGAGTGGAGGCTGTAATCTCATGCAATCACCAGAGTCCATTACCAATTGGCGTGGAAGCCCTGTGGCTGGGATGGTTCATGCCAATTGGCCTTGGTTGGTGCATATCGAGACTGGTGTGCAAAACCCCACAGCTGAAAGTCACGGGAAGGCGAATTGTGGAGAGGGGATGCGGGATCAAGTGGGTGAGAGGCAACATAAAGGAGAGAAAAGGACTGGTTACGCACTTCCACATGCCAAAACCAGCTCTTCCCACCTCGCGTGCCACACGCAAGACATTCTAACCTCCACATGCCCTTCCCACCACCACATGCCCCACCTCCATCATCTCCAGACGCCCTTCCCACCTCCACATGCCCCCCAAACACAAGCTACATGCCAGCTTCTCTCACCTCCACGTGTTTAATCTTGAAGTCCTCCGACTTTGAGAGGCACGGACTGCAGAATGTTTCACAAGCACCGCTGGAGCCTGTCAGACTGGGGGAGGGGAGGGGTGGTTGAAGGGTAAGAGGGGTGGGAGGGGTGGGAGGGGTGGGGGAAGAGGGGAAGGAAGCGACCAAGCGGATCGAGATTCCGCATGTATGGCGTCCTCTCCTCCAACTTTGAGAGACGCGGACTACAGCATTTCTAACAAGCACCGCTGGAGCCAGTCAGACTGAGAAGGTGGGAAAGGGGGAGGGGAGGAAAGGGGAACAGAGAGGGGAGCGGTAAAGAGAGGAAAAGACGAAGGGGGATGAGATTTTGCTTGCAGAGTATGACGTCCTCAGAAGTGGAGAGGCACGGACTGCAGAATGTCTCATAAGCACTGCTGGAGCTGGTCATACTGGGGGAAAACGAAGGGGGGGGGGGTTGGGGGGGTGGGGCAGGGAGGGGGGAAGAAAGAGGGGGAGAGACACATTCCATCTTTCACTATTCCTGACAAGCTTCACAGCTGCTCCCGCCGGAATTGTCGAATGAACGTACAAGAGGAGATAGTGAACAGAAGTTCACGAAAGCTTCTATGAACGAAATGAAGGGCACTGGTGATGGAAGGTACTCAACAACACTCACAGAACCAGTACGAAGCTCTGGAACAGCATGGGTACCGTTTACAGGTACCAGTACTGGTTACAGGTACCAGTACTGGCACCTGTGACTTTCTAAGGAGCAATGAACCATTCACAGATGACTCACTGCGCTAGTGACTTGTCTAACAAAGACTCACAGGTCCTCGTCACTGGTGTTTTGTTTTCAAATGACTCACAGGTCCTCCTGCAGGCACAGGGCGAAGTGGCCTCCTCCTCCAAATGAAAGGGCTTCGTTCAGACACAGGATGAAATAGCGATTGGCAGCTGCATGTGCAAGAAAAATACATCAAGAACGATTATTGAGCAAGGCACTGCAGTCTTCAAGGCCAAGCAGGGCCTGTGAACGAAGGCTTGGGAAGCAGAGAAAAGGCAGCTGACTGCCTGGGATGAATGCGCTGGAAAGCGGGGAACAGTATAGCGAGTAAAATTGGCTAACTCCCCCGCTTGTTACCTACCTGTGGCCTTATACACCATTGGCTGGCCTGTAATGGTGGTGAAAACAAAGACGTCACTAGATCCCTGCCACAGGGGACAGCCAGGGAAGGAGGGAACTGTGAGACTGCTTTTGAGTCGACTCAAAAACAGCCAGGGAAGGAGGATGCTGTGAGATTTCAGGTTGGAAAACAGCTCGATCAAGAAAAGGAATAACGGAAACAGGGACGATTTTGCAACAGAGGGAACAGGAAAGACTGCGTACAAAAATTTAATCATTGTTCTGGAGTGATAAATTTGTGCCGACTCACAAGTCTCTTTCAGTGCCAGCAGAGGGAACAGAAATGGGAGTCAGTGGTTGAGCTGGTACTGCATACCTGGTATTTCCTGCGGTTGGAGGCTACAAGGGCTTGAGATGAGAAGCCACCAAAGACCGTACCATTGTCTTCTGTCACCACCTAAGGACGCGGGACAAGGGTGCAGATGCCAAGGGAAGGAGTGTGTTGTGAGTTGAATCAAAGTCACCCAAGACTGTACAATCGTCCTCTGTCAACAGCTGAGGACGGGTTGACAGGGCGTGGATGCAAAGGGGAGTGTCGACGCCCAGACAGAAAGAGCGCGTGTTTTAGTGCTTCAAAGCAATCCTCCTCTGTCACCCCCTGAGGATGGGATAAGTGGCATGGCATGGATGCAACGGATGCAACAGGAAGCGTGTGGAACGAGGGAGAGAGGAACCCTGGCTTGACAATGCAGATGGATAAATGGATGGATAGACTGACGGACGGACGGACGGACGGACTGGCCTATGGAAAGATGGATGGACTCAGAAAGTACCTCGGTAGGCAGGTCGATAAATGGTTAACCAGCAAGCAGGGGGCTGGCTGGCATTACGAGGCCTTACCAGCAGGCAGGGGCCTGGCATCATGGAGCTGCGGCGATAGAGGGTCGATAGGGAGATGCCGTGCTTGAATGTGCTGGGTGATGGGGAAAGGTGGTGAGGCAGGGGGGGTGATGAAGGGTGGGGGGAGGTGGTGAGGGATGGGGAGCGGAAGGAGAGGTTGTACGGGATGGGGCAGGAGAGGGTAGTCCAGTACAGCTGCCAGGGGAGTGAACAGCACTTGAGTGCAATTCTGCTGAAACGCCTTCATGGGGCAATGGACGACAACCGCAGACCAGGCGGAAGCGTGAGGTGGAGGGGGGGAGAAGTATACAACCATCATTGCAATGACGGCTTGTATTCCTTTTTCAGCCCATGCGTGCCTCACCTGTACAGAAGAACCCACTCCCGTCCACTGGCAATGGCGGGTAGGCTCTGGCAAATCACGCTGCGACACGTGTCGGACAGCAGGAACGACTCGTCCATCATGTCCGGAAGCCTGGGACTCATCAGTGGCGAAGCCTCCAGAGAATTCGGAGACAGAATTCTCTCCCTTCCGCTACCCTCCCTTCCACTCTCCTCCCTCCCACTCCCAGAGTTTGGAGAGAGTATTCTCTCCCTTGCACTACTCTCCCTCCCACTCCCCATGGGAGACGTTACCCGCTCTCTGCTGCTCCCAAGGTTCCTCGAACCTGGCTCGGAGGCCCGGGAGCTGAGAGCTGGGGAGTAATCGGCTGAGGTGACAGGCTCGGACATCCTCTGTTGGAGTATTTCTGCTGCTCCCGACACACCCGCTGCCCCTGGTGCTGCTCCTGACACTGCCCCTGGTGCTGCTCCTGATACGGCTCCTGCTGCTGCTACCACTTCTGCAGATGCTGCTAACGTAGCGGATGCGTGCAGACTTTGCTGATTCGCGCCCCCGTTGTTCTCTCGCGCCTCCAGCCTGGATGCGGGCGTCAGCGCCACGTCACCGCATCCAGCATCAGCAGAGAGGGAGGAGGAGGAGGAAGACGGGGTGAGAGAGGGCGAGGAGTCCCGCGATCGAGCCCCCTTTGGTCCAGACGCAAAGCGTGATATAAACGGGGGAAGCCAGCCCCGCCTTGCCCCTCCCCCACTCCCTCCCCCACTCCCTCCCCCACTCCCTCCCCCACTCCCTCCCCCTCTTCCCCTACCACCCTCCCCAGCGTCCCACATCTTCAGCCCTTCCTCCTGTCCCTCCCCTCCCTCCTCCCCCCCAGACTCCCCTCCTACTCCAGTTCTCCCCCTTCTCCTCACCCTCCCTTCTTGCCCTCCCCCCAAACCATGCAGCACCGATTCCCCTCTTCCCTCCCCTCCTACCACCCCATCCTCCTCCTCCCCCACCTCCTCATACTCCTCATCGTCAAAATCCGAGTCTATATACGACCCCCCTGACTCCGAGCAGGTATCCGAACTCGCCTTGTTCCCCCGCGGATTGATGCTGAGCAGCGACAGCAGAAACGCAGCGAGGGAGGACGTGTCCGGCCCTTCGAACTCATCATCCACGCTCAACGTCGACGGCACGCGGGGAGGCTTTCGCCCCACTCTTCCCGAGCCGGAATCAGCAGCAGCGGCAGCGGCTGCTGCTGCCACTGCTGCTGCCGTCGCTGAAGCTATCTGGGCCGAATCGTCACTGTAGCCGCTCCCTAGTCCTTCCGCCGCTGCTGATTTTACCGGGGTTCGTCTTCCCGGCGTCCCTAACCCGGAGCCTTCGCCTAAACCTGCTGGTACTGCCATGCCTGAGGGAGTTCCTGAGTCTGGTCCTGTTGCTCCGGCTGCTCCGCGTGAGACGTCTTCAGGACCTGAGACTGAGCGTATGGAGGAAGAAACGCCAGATGAAACGCCGGATGAAACGCTAGCCTCAGAAACGAACGGCGCGCTAGCGGTATCTGCGGCGTTGGTAGCGTTTGCAACAGTAATAGTAGTAGTAGGGGTGGTGGTGGTGTCGGTATTTACGGTGCAGGTGTTTGTGCTCGTGACGCCGGCCCTACCAGCTGAGCCGCTGGGTGCGCCTCGTCTCAAGGTGGTGTTTAGAGTGCTGGAGTCTAGAGTGCTGGTGTCTAGAGTGCTGGTGTCTAGAGTGCTGGTGTCTAGAGTGCTGGTGTCCAGACTGCTGGTGTCTAGAGTGCAGGTGTTTGTGCCCGTGACGCCGGCCTTACCAGCTGAGCCGCTGGGTGCGCCTCGCCTCAAGGTGGTGGAGGCGGTGGTGCTGCTGAAGGAAGTTGCTGCGAAGCTGCTGGCGCTGTCCACGGATTCGTCGTAAATCACTGGATCGGATTGACGCACCTGGAACAGGAGGTGGGACAAGGAGTGACAGTTAGCGGATATAGATCAACGAGCCATCAAATGGTAGATTTCATAAATGCTTGATCATCCATGGTGATCACCGAAAATCAATTAAGAAGGCGTTTGCACGTTTAAATATGGACAAATTCCAGTACGAGGTCGTTGAATCGCTTCGCCGTCTCCACTGACCTTTGCGGGAAACCCTCCTCGTTGATTCTCTTCTGTCGATGTTTCGCATTTGCCTCGCCGGCTTGCTGTCGCGAGTAGCCGAGCCATCCTGTCACTGACCGCGTCCGTCCATCCCATGTTTGTGCGTACGGGTAACAGGGAGCAGTTCCTGGCGCCAGCAACGGTCGCCTAAAGACCGAATCTAATACTATGGAAGCTCCAAGGATTTGCTCCGTTGGCAGATAGCTCTGCTTGCCAAGTCAGTCGTGTTTGGAATCTGTCATGCAATGACACTACAAAAAAAAATGACAGCCGATTTTGCTTGCCAAGTCGATGATGGCCTCCAGAATTTGTCCGAAAATTGAATTGGAGTGATTCGGGCATTCCCTCTCCCTGACAGAACCAAACTCGAGGTTGGAGGCTAGGCAGCACAGACACAAATGATGAGCAGAACGGACTGTGACACTAGAGGGGTTGATAACAGGCGTCGCGAAAGGCAGGTCGAGGATGACGATGATGGGTGGATGACCATGGCGGTCGTTGTCAGTCGATGTGAAGGAAAAAGCAATCTCGAGGGGTGTTGCACCAATCAGGACGCCTCGCCAGCAAGGCCACATGACCAGCTGACATGGCCAGTGAGTCGCAGGAGCAACAGCATGTATATGTGGAATTTCGGGGGTGTATCCTTTCACCTAGTTCTTCGTCTAAAAGTGCGATCTTAGACCAATAAGTTGCTACATTAATTGTCACGATGGTCAATTCATAAATATTATTCTTAGAAGTGTGTCTTTACGTGCTTGGCTCGTATAGTAGGAATGGTTGATTCATGCTGTGAGTAGAATGGGAATGATTTATGAAGGCTGGTTTTGAAGTATAGCCACATTTTCGTCATGTAGAGTCTTCCTACAAATGTTCTGGATGTAGTAGAGAGGCCTGAGGGGCCCTCCAAAGCAGCATCCTATTGGTCGCATATGAGTGGTGCTTGATGGCCGAGGTTGCTTGTTAGGCCATGGTTTTGCCCTCAATGTTGTTGTCACCACCGGGCACTGGCCCCTCAATCGGACCAGCCTAGGAAGTTCCGCCGCGTCGTACCCTAAAAGCGGGTGTGTGGTTGCTATCACACCCAGAAATGCCTGGCATTTTAGGATCCCAGGAATCTACCTTCGTAGTCTCTCATGTCCCATCAGCGGATGCGGTAGCCTCGAGTGGTTCATCACAGAGGTCAGAAGGGCATAACCAGGGAGACCCCTAAAACGTATGGTGCATGTACACGAATGCCACCCACCTCAGCTTCTTGCTGTCGAAACTTCCAGATTGTTGCCGAGAATTCTCTCCTCACCTCACCTTGCCGAGATTCTTTTCCTGGCTGCCAGCCAGCCCATCCAACATCCTCCACAGTCCTCTCAACCCAAACGTAGCACACCCTCACTGACCTACGTGCCAACGAGATTCTCAATTCCAGAACAGTAGGACGTCAGCCCCTTTTTAGTGGGTTTCCTACCTTGAGTTAGGATTGGTAGGCTGAGCCGCGCAAGCCGTCTTTGTCGGTTCTTGGGGTATTCATCCTTAGTGTTGCCGACTTAAAATTGCGACGGATCTTCCAGTATAGTTCTTGCGTCAACTATAGCTTTGTTCGTTGCTCTATGTTCACGTCAACTCCCTCCTTATCTCACGGCTCCGCGCCAGCGATGGCGTCAGCAGCAGAGCCAACGCTTTGCCTTGGAGTCCCACACGGTATCGATCTGCTCGGATCTTCCGTCCCAGCGTCCGTCGACGACCGTGATGATGACGTGGACGATCTGACGGAGGAGGATGTTTGGTTCCCTGGAGATGTTGACAACTCGCCAGCAGTTCGAAGTACTCAGGCTGACGCTGCGCGTCCACTGGCCGTCGAATCCGTCGGTCGAAGCTTCGTTCCCTCCGCAGCGGAACCGCTTTTCCCGCTATCTGGTAGAACGGTAACGCGGGGTCCTGCTGACGCCGTTCCCGCGATCTTCAACTCACGCGACGGCTCGTCGAGCAGGCCGCTCGGCCTATCTCTTGTTCCCACGCTCGTGGAGCCTAACTCGGGTGATAGTATCAGAGTCCCTAACATCGGGGGTGATATTATCAAAGGCCCTTCAGCTGCTCTACCGACTTCATCCGTTCTTATACCGCGACCGCTACCAAGCCCTCATGACGCAATTCGACCCATGAGAAGAGCGTCCGCTCCCATACATATTCCTTGCTGGAGCAAGTCCTCCGCTCCCCGAGATCTCCCTGCTGCAGGACCAGGTAGAACGGCGTTGAGAGGGGAGGAGCAGCAGGAGGAGGATGAGATAATTCCTCCGCATGAAATCGTGGCGCGGCAATACGCTCAAAGTGTGAATTTCTCGGTGACAGAGGGGGTTGGCCGGGCTCTCCGTGGGAGGGATTTGGCTCACGTGCGCACGGAGATCCTTCGCAAGACAGGCTTCTTTGAATGACACAGACAACAGGATTGAGCATGGCTCGTTTGCAGGTCTTTCTGGGAGTCTTCAGCAGGGCGTGAGGGACTTCTGAGGGGGATTTTTTGTCGGCGTTTTCGTCCACCTGCCGAGATTGAAGCATGTTGGGTTGTTTGAACTTGCAGCCTAGATGGTCATGCCAATTGTTTAGGTTTCTTGTAATTTCATGAAGGTGGGCCTTGCTTCCTGTTGGTACAAGAGGTCAGCAGTTCTTGAAGGATTTAGCAACTCTTCTCAGTTACAAACAATCTCTTTGGCCCCTTCATTTTGTCTGAGATTACCGCAGCATGTGAACCAGCTCTTGTTTCAACTACCAGTACCACAATCATCCACCTCAGCAATTTGGAACCAACAACCTCGATATACATTAGAAGGGGAAACAAGCAACAAGGTTGATGCCAAGAACTGCAAGAAAGAAACTTGAGCAGGTGCCTCTAGAACAGGGTGGCGTTCCACGGAACAGGGAACCCCACTGGATATGTGGAGTAACCCTGGGGAATGTCAGTGCCATACTGAAACGCTCCATAGTACTTCTGTGGGAGAACGCGGAAGTTCTCTCCTCTAATGGCTTCAGCGGCTGCTAGCAAACCGTAGAAGTAACTAAGAAAGATTCCGTACATAAGAAAGAGCATGCCGATGGCGGAGAACCAATCCAGCCAATCAATCGACTTGAATCGCTGCATCAGAGTCGGCCGGATCTCGAGCGGAGCGGAGAGGGAGGAGGGTCCGCCTGAGAAGATTCCATCGGACTCTGCGCTCACGGCGACGGCGTAGAACGGCGCGGACGACATTCTGACGATGCGCTCGAGAAGCGCGTGTGACAGGGAATTTCTTCGATGTTGGAGGCAAGAAGGGGAAGGTGTGACAGAAGGAACGACGGGAAGAGGTGCCAATGCGCTCGAACGGATGGGCTGAGACAAATAATTATGTCTTCATACGTTGAATGAACTGTCAGGTAGCGACCAGGAACTCGCAGAACGTCACAAGCTCAACCAATGGCGTAACACGAGAAGCTAGGGGCGGGCAACAGGGAGATTCATGTCTGACTCCAGCCAAATAGTGCTGCAAAATCGCACTCTAGGCGCATCAAGTACCATCACCCTAGCGAACATGGGGAACTTGGGGAAGTTGGGGGAAGCGAGAACGGGTACAACAGGGAGCGGGTGAGGAGCAGACAGTACCAGAACAAGTTTGGCGCGGGTTGTGAGGGAATTGGAGCGTTTTCCGGGTATTGAGGAAGGTTGGAAGGGGTGGGAGAGGGAGGTGCTGGTTGGGGAAAAGGCTCGTTGTGCGCAGCAGGGTGCGCTACACCCTGAAGGGAAGGGAAGCGGAGGCCAAGGTGAAGAAGAGGGGAAGAAAGGGGGCGACAATTTCGGGGGGATGGAGGGGGTTGTGGGGCGCTTGGGGCCAAATGGGTCACTCCGCCAGCTTGTGATGGAGGGCTGCAGAATCTCGCTATTAACATATTTCAGCGCAGATGTAGAAAAAACGACGATTTAGGAATGCCGAAACTGCTCAGGTATGTATACACTATTTGGCTTCATGTTCACCCCTCATCAAGCGGGCAATCAATCACCTATGTAGATTTGTAGACTAGGATTCAAGATACCTCAATTACAGGCATTTCCACAGCACCTCGACTCCATCCTGCTCCCCTCGCCCTCACCTCCCCAACCTCCCTAGCCACTCGCACCACCCTTTCCTCATCCACCTTCTGACAACGTGCCAGGTGGCAGCGCGCGATTTGTTCGCAGCCATGTAACACCCGCGCAACACCATGTGTGGTAACCCCGTTACAGGCCCGCAGCCTGAGGGTGTCTAGCAGCGGGCAGTGGGCTGCAATGGTGTGGAGCACCAGGTCCGACAGGTGGCAGGCTCGGAAGCCAGACAAAGAGATGTGCTGCAAGTGGTGGCACGACTGGAAGAGAGGGATGAGGCCAGTTTCAGATATTTCCCTGCAGGGAGGGGGTTGGAGGGGAAAGGAGGGGAGAGCAGGAGAGAGGACTAGGTCTGAGAAGTGGGAGGTGCGGAAGTCGGACAAAGAGACGTGGTGCAAGTGGTGACAGGGTTGGAAGAAGGGGATGAGGCCAGTTTCAGATATTTCCCTGCAGGGAGGGGGTTGGAGGGGAAAGGAGCGGAGAGCAGGAGAGAGGGCTGGGTGTGAGAGGTGGCAGGCACGAAAGTCAGACTAAGAGACGTGGTGCAAGAGGCGGCACAATTGGAAGAGGGGGATAAGGCCTGGCTTGTAGATTTTGCCGCAGGGAGGAAGGGAAGGGAAGGGAAGGAGGGGGTGAGAGGACTAGGTCCGACAGGTGGCAGGCTCGGCAGCCAGAGAGGCGCATGTGGTGCAAGCCAGCAAGCAGCGGCAGGATTGGAAGAGAGGAATGAGGCCGGACTCAAAAAAATTCCTGCGGGGAGGAAGAGTAGGGAGGGATGAGAAGGGAGGGGAGGGGGGGAGAGCAGGAGAAAAGGTCTGACAGTTGGCAGGCTCGGAAGCCAGACAGCCAAACAGCCAGCAAGCAGTGGCGCGGTCCAAGGCTGGCTCGGATTTTTTTTAGCAGGGAGGAAGCAAAGGGAAGGGATGAGCGGGAGAGGAGGGTCTAGTTTTGAGGTGCCTCAAAACTAGCAAAGGGAGGGGATGAGCGGGAGAGGGGGGAGTGTGAGGTACACGGACTGGAGAATAAAATACCCAGCTGGACCACAATGAACCCATCACCACCATATTGCACCATCACATACCTGCAATACTCGGCAGTGATTCTCGAGAGACGGGGACAGCTGGCAGCCACGAGCAGCAGGAAAGAGCTGCACAACCCGTCCCGGCACTCCAGCTCCAGGCTCTCCAGACACATGGCACGCACAACCACACTGCAACCAGCAGCACCGCATGGCACCATCACGTACCTGCAGTACTCGACCGTGATTCTCGAGAGACGTGGGCAGCTGGCAGCCACGAGCAGCAGGAAAGAGTTGCACAACCTATCAAGGCCCTCCAGCTCTAGGCTCTCCAGCCCACTCCACCCCAGCTGCAGATGAGGCAGTGTATACGAGTGCGTCACAGGTAGCTGTAGTCCGTGTGACCGGAACCCGGGTGACTGTATGTCATGTGACAGTATGCCATGCGAGGGTATCTCATGCGAAAATATGTCATGTGAGTACATGTCGTGTGACTGTAAGGCATGCGAGAGTGTGCCATGTGACTGCATGTCATGTGACTGTAGCGCATGGGGCTGCACATGGGCCTGTGCATGGGGCTGTGCATGGGGCTGTGCATGGGGCTGTGCATGGGGCTGTGCATGGGGCTGTGCATGTGACTGTAAGCCACGCGGTGACAGCGACATGGGAGCAGAAACTGGAGCGAAGACCGCAGCGGGCGGCGAGACAGCAAGCGGCATGAGACGTGGAGACGAGGTAGACGCAGGCAGTGGGGCGGGGGAGGAGAATTGACCATGGGAATAGGCGTAGCCTCCCCATGGCCGCATTACATCTCGAGACAGCTCGTCCCCTCTGAATCCATGGCTCCATTTAAGCTGCAGCGATCTCAGGTTCACTCCATGAACCACCAACGCATGCAGACTCGCGTCTGTCACCCTCGCTGCTCTGCTGTTGCTACCTCCTCCTGCTGCTCCTCCTCCTCCCCCTCCTCCTACCCCCCCTCCCCCTCCCCCTCCCCCTCCCCCTCCCCCTCCCCCTCTCCCTCCTCCTCCCCCTCCTCCCCCACCCTCGCACCCGCTCAAAGACAGGCACTTGATTTCCGTGCAGCCTTTCATTATAGCCACAATGCTAGAGTCACTCACCCCCTCACAATCCACAATCTCTACACTCTCCAAACGGGCAGCTGTTCGGGCAACGGTCAGAAAAAACCGGTCGAGCGGGTCCGGGCAGGCCATGACGGTCAGCCTGCGCAGGGCGGGCAGCTGCCCGGCAAACATCTCCAGCCAATGGGCATCGAGCACGCAGTTGATCAGCTTTAAAGAGGAAAGTTTAGGGAAGGACGATGCAATACCGCCCCGGCCTACTAACCCCCTCCCTGCTCCTTCTTGCGCCTCTGGTGACGGATGAGTCGACTCAAACATCTCCCCTGCACCATCACGCGCCCTCCCCCCATCTCTCCCCTCCCCATCCTCCATATTCTCGCCTTCCCTCGCCCCTCCACCTCCCCTCTCCCTTTCCCCTTCAAATACCAGCCCCTCCCTTCCTCCCTCTCTCTCCCCTCCCTCCCCGCGCCTCGCTTTCTTCCCCACCACATTTAGAGTGAGATCCTCCAGAACCATCTCCTCCAATCCCGGGCAGTTTTCCGCCAGCTCAGCAAACCCGGCGCCACTCACGTTCGGACAGCTGGCGATCGACAGTTCCCTCAGCGTCTCACACTTGGACACATACCTGAAGAACTGATCCGTTAAGCGCGTGCACTTATACACCGTCACTTTGTTAAGCATCCGGTGCCCCTCCACGCACCGCCAAAAGTCGTCGCTTAAGTAACGCGGATCGTGCATCTCCAAGTGCTGAATACTCCGCCCCCACTTGGCGATAGTGTCTCTCATATAATCCCTTAAACCCTGATGGATCTCAAACTCCCCGCAGTTGCAGATAGAGAGGTACTCCACGTGTGTGCCTGCTACTTGCTGGATCTGAAGGGGCGTGTTGAGGGAGAGTAAACGGACTATAGCAGACCCGTCGAGGATGTCTTGGTCGCTGATGGGGGAGGGGGAGGGGGAGGGGGAGGCGGAGGACGAGGGCGGAGGAGGAGGACCGTGCGCCGCGGCGGCGTTGGCAGTGGTGCTTGTGGTGCTGCTTCCGCCGCTCGCGGCGGTGCTGGAAGCGCCAACGGTTCCCCCAACCCCTGCGCCGCCGCCCCCAGCCTCCGCTCCGCCTCCCCCGAACCCTGCCCCTCCCGCTGCGCCTCCCCCCACCCCCGGGCGCTTGTGGTGGCGGTCGTCCGCGCGCTCCTCCCGCGGGCCCCCTGGCAACACGGAGGGGCCGAAGAAGCGGACGCGCAGCGTGCGGATGAGGGGGAAGCGGCGCAGCACGAAGCGGAGCTCCGCCGCGCTCACCTGAAGAGAAGGCGGGGGGAGGAGAGGGGAAGGGTAAGGGGGGGAAGAGGGGAAAACGGGTGGGGGGAAGGGGAGGGGGGGAGTGGGGAGGGGGGGAGGAGAAGGGGAGGGGGGGGGAGGGGGGGGGGGCGTGCAGGGGCAGATGATGGGGAAAGGGAAGGCAATGGGGAAGTATGGAACCAGCTCCTGTTTTTTTCTTCGAGGGTCCCATCAAAGCAGCTTCCCTCGCATTGCATGTCATGCGGCAGAAGAACGCTCGTAGCGAAACGGGGGGGGATGATGCAGAAGGGATGGGAATGGGGAAGCAGAGGGCTCCAAAGCAGATTACCTCGCTCTGCATGTAATGCGGCAGCAGGCTTACACTGTGACTTACCCTGTGATGCAGGGTAAGTCAGCAGGCGATGCGGACTTACCCTGTGATGCACGGAGCGAGACTTACGGAAGCAACCTACCTCGCTCTGCGTGTAATGCGGCAGCAGCAGGCGATGCGGACTTACCCTGTGATGCACGGAGCGCCAAATCGCCTTACCTCGCTCTGCATGTAGTGCGGCGGCAAGTCTTGATCGGCTCCTCAAGACTCGACTAATCGACTTACCTCTCTCCGCGTGTAACGCGGCCGCCGCCGATTCGCCTTACCTCGCTCCGCATGTAGTGCGGCAGGAGTCGCTCGTAGCGAAACCAAGCGGGATGATGCAGAAGGGATGGGAATAGGAGGCATCGGGTCCCAAAGCTTAAAGCCCCGAAGCAGCTTACCTCGCTTTGCATGTAGTGCGGCAGGAGTCGCTCGTAGCGAAACCACTGGCGACACACGAGCGACACGGAGCAGCGGTCTGCGACGGACAGGTGCGAAAAGATCTTCGCGATCACGTCGCGCGGCAGCTTGTGGACGGCCGCCGGCTCGTACGCCGGCCATGGCGGCGGGAGGCTCGGCGGATGGCTCGGAGGGTGGCTCGGAGGGTGGCTCGGCGGAGGAAACCGGATTCGGGCCTGCTGCGACGGTTGTGGCGGCGGCGTCATATCCATATGGGATTCAAAGAACTAATAGTGCTACAATTAGTAAGGGAAGTACGTAAGGTAAGGGACGTTCTAATAGCAAGGGACCTACTTCGAACAGTGAGGGACGTACTAATAGGAAGGGAGGTTTCGAGTGATAGTAGGAGATGACGCTGGAACACGCTAGCGGCGAGAGCCGAACACCGTGACGGCGGGTTGAAGTGACATCATCTCATGATGCATGTTTCTCAAGTTGAGAACTCGTGGATCTGACGAGGGAGAGGCCTTCGATATCTTGCTGCTACCATTGCAGCATTAATGGCATCAATGGCATCACAGAGCAGTACAGTGCAGCGTTGGGGGAAACGGAAACCCTCGTGGTCGTGGGAGATGCTTGTGATGGGATGGGAGTGGGAGGGGAGAAAGGAGAAAAGGAGCGAGTCGGTAGGTAGGTGCACTAAGGGGGAGGGACGCACGCACATCATGCCAAGCCGCCTACGAACAACAACCAAGAGATGGATGTTTTCTAGGGCTGGATGTTCTCTAGGGCTGGATATTATCTCTCCAGGACAAGATAAGCAGCGAGTGGTTGAAATGAGGAGTGAAAGTGAAAGTCCCAATAATCCGTCAAAGAACTCTCGCTCGAGTTGCCGTGCCATCACCGCACCTGCGGCGACAGCAGCAGCAGCGGCAGCAGGTTCGGGAGAGGAAGCGCCAGCAGCAGTACCAGACGCACATGCCAGTTGATCAACTATGGGGCGGGCGGCAGCCGCACGCGCGACGAAGCCAATAGGGTGGAGGTCCACACACCCACGTGCATGTGTTTGTACAAGTAACTGTGGGTGAAAAGAGATATCCGTTATGATAAATTGCGTTTTCTATAGCGTGTTTTGTGACAGCTTATCCTTTGGCCAATCAGTTTAGTCAACTCTTGAATTCACATCTTTAGGCAAAGAATATTAGTAAGTAGAAAGGATTATATTAATCATGCATCAGCTCGTCCGCATCAGGAACCTTATGACGGTAAAATATCCTACTTAACGCCAAGCATGTCTATTCCTTCTGCGTCACGACTCACTGAGGCTAATGCGACCAATCAAAGGAACGAGCCCTGACCCTGACGATTGTACCCGAGAGTCATACTAAACAAATGTATACATTACATTATTCATCATTGTAACACGTTGTTGTACAGTCCACACGAACCTCCCCTGTACAGAGCTTCTCCCTCACATACACCCCCTTGCCCTTCACTTTTCTCAAGCACCACTTCCTCCCTTCCCTCCACTGCTGCACCTCCCAGATACCTCCTCCTCGCCCTACCCCTTTCTCAGGCTTCTCTCTCTCTCTCTCTCTCTCTCTCTCTCTCTCTCTCTCTCTCTCTCTCTCTCTCTCTCTCTCTCTCTCTCTCTCTCTCTCTCTCTCTCTCTCTCTCTCAAGCGGTCCTTTGTATTCATTAGGAGCCTGTGTACAGAGCTAGGCAAATGGGTCAGGAACGGGTATGCATCCTAAAACCTCTCTTCCTCCCCTGGCTTGCCTACGGTAGCTCCCTAGTGGGCTCCAAAATGACGAAGCAGTCCCCGAGGGACATGCCTTCGTCTGGTGTCCCAAGGACGGGCCCCTCAAGCGGGGAGGCTTCATTCACCTTGCCGAGATATGAGAGGGCCTGCCCGCGCTGGAGGGTGACCGACCACCGCTGCCGAAACTAGTTGAGCAGCTTGGCGGCCTGGTACGAGCTCGAGTTTGCATTGAAGAGGCGGCGGGCGCCGGTATTTCTTAAAACTGAGTCATGAATGAGTAGAGAACATGGGTTCAAGCATTCATATATAAGGGTTGTACTCTCTAAGAGGCGACCCTATACAGTCTATACAAACACTAGATATACTAACGTTTGACACACCCCCTAGACTGCATAGGGGCAGTTCCTGAACAAGCAGCTCAGGGCGGCACTACTAGTCCAACCACTGAGACAAGGGTCTAAAGACCAGTCAACAGGAGTACAGGCAAGACAAGAACAAGACCAGGGCGGCACTACTAGTCCAGCCACTGGGAGAGGACACAAGTCCAGTCTGAGTAAATATATATATAAAGGACAGTACAAAGTCAAGGCCCTAACAAGTGAGAGGCTACAGGAACTAGACCGAGCTGTACACAGTGCCGCTGATGATCTTTAGGCGCAAGCGCCTTCGTAAAGATATCAGCTGTGTTGGCACCGAAGGCCAAGTGTACTACGCGAGCCTGGCGGCGCTGCTGTAGCTCACGCAGGAGGAAGTACCGCAGCTGGATATACTTCGCTCTGCCCTCGATTCGAGGCTCCTGACACAGGAGGATCATGGCCCTGTTGTCAGCGTACAGAACCGGGGCAGAGCTAGGCCGCTCACCTAAGTCAGTGAGCAAGAAGGTCAGCCAGCGGAGCTCCTATGCCGCCATGGCACCAGCGTAGATCTCGGCCTCACAGCTGGACTGGGCAACAGATGAGGAGCCGGTAGCTCTCCACGAGACGGCACCTGAACCAAGGCTGAAGCAGTAGCCCTGGGAAGACCTGAGTGTCTCGGCGTCGTCTGCCCAAGAAGCGTCCGTGTGTCCAGTAAGGACCACTGGCCTGCGTCCTCCTAGCACTAACCCCATGGCCGATGTACTAGCAAGATAACGCAAAACCCTCTTAGCGGCAGACCAGTGCTGCGGTCGGTGTCTACCTGTGGCCACAAAGCGAGCCAGGATGCTGAGAGGGTATGCGAGATCTGGGCGAGTGCAAGTCATCAGGTACATGAGGCATGTGTAAGGACCACTTGGCTCTACTGACTCCTCCGAAACTGGAGCGGAGAGTCTGTGGTCTACAGGCAGAGGCATGGGCTGTGCAGAAGAGAACTGAAGGCCGAACCTCTGAAGGACCTGGCACACCAAGTGTGACTGAGTCAGGGTGATGGTGCGCGTTGCTCTGTCCCTGGAGATCTGCAAGCCAAGGTAATGGCGCAATTCTCTAAGGTCAGTACAAGTGTGTCTCCTCAGCACCTCTGCCTTCACGGAGGCCAGTGCGACCCTGTCTGCTGTGGCAAAGACAAGATCGTCGACGTAAACAAGGATGTAGAACGGAGTCTGGCCAGCACGAATGAAGAGTGAGGGGTTTGCGGAAGACGGAAAGAAGTGCAGGTTAGCAAGGGTAGCACGCAGCGTGTCGTGCCACTCATGGGGAGCCTGCCGCATGCCGTAGACGGGGCGCCGCAGGAGCCACTGGGTCCCAGGAGGGAAGGTGCCAGTAAAGCCCTGAGGGCGACGCAGGTAGACGTGCTCGTGTAGGCTGCCCAGAAGGAAGGCAGTGGAGAAGTCGAGAGAGTGAAGCTCGTAGTCACGCTGAGTAGCTAGGTGTAACAGAACCCGAAGAGTAGTCATCTTCGGGGTCGGAGCGAAGGTCTGGAAGAAGTCCACCCCTCACGCTGACTGAAGCCTCTAGCCACGTAGCGCGCCTTGAACACATGCGGCTCTCCAGGACGGCGCTTCACCTTGAAGAACCAGCGGCCATCGACTACGTTCACCCGAGGCGGGGGAACTGCGTCGACGAAGGTGCCGGTGGATCTCCAAGATGCCATCTCCTGCTCCATGGCAACTATCCACTGCGAGGCCCAGGGTCCCGAGGTCGCCTCAGCGTAAGTGCGAGGGGTCGGGATGTCGAAAGCGTCTGGGTCACCCTCAGGGACTAGCAGCATGGAACAGAGATGGGGAGCAGCCTCGGACAGGAAAGTAAGCCCGAACTGGCGGTCCTCTAGGATGTCAGTGCCGAGGGCAGAAGCACCCCCGACAGACGGAGGACAAGCAGGGTCAGAGACTAGAGCGGTGGCGTAGTCAAGGCGGCGGGTAGAGGCGAAGTCAGCGACTGCAGCGACAAGAGCGTCAAGACACGAGACCGGAACAGACGGGTCGGTAACGAGAGAGGCGAGGACGCGAGGACGCGAGGAACAAGAGGACGAGCGGCACGAAGGTAGTCAGACAGAGGAGGAGGAGCAACGGTAAGAGAGGACGGAGGAGGCGACGGTAGAAGGGGAGGACAAGACGCGCGGGAACGGAGCAACATAGGGTGAGAGCGCGGGACAGGGGAGACATGACGAGCACAGGAGGGACGGCGGGACCAGACGTGAGACGGAGGCGTCGGGTCAGGAGACAGAGGAGGGGACACAAGGGCGGAGCGAGGGGGAAGACGAGCCGGCGACGAGTCCGGCGGAGGGAACACAGGGCCGTAGACAGGAAGAGGAGGAGACGGCAGGTGAGGAACGGACGCAGGGTCAGGGGACGGAAGGCCGAGCAGACGAAGGACTGACACCGGCTGAGACTGCTGCTGCGGCGGCACAACACCAACACCGAGACCGCGAGCTGCTCCTCGGCTACCTCCGGGACACTCCACTCCGGCACCCCCAGAAGGAACACCCCCAGAGCCCAAAACCTCCCGAGCACCAGTACCACCCCTAGGGCCACTGGTGCACGCCACAACAGGAACCCCAGAATGAGCACCCACCCCAACGCGGGCACCCCCAGAGTCGACGAACTGCTGCTGCGACGGCAGCGGCGGCGACGGCGAGAACGACTGGTGCGGCAGCGACGGCAGCGGAGACGACGTCTGCGACAGCAGGGGCGACGGCGGCTGCAGAGGCTGTGGGGGAGGAGACACCGGGGGAGGGGCAGACGGCGAGGACTGCGCCGAAGGACCACCAGAGTCAGAGGACTCCTCGACCGGGACAACTGACGGGAGAGGGGTGACGTGGGACACACCAAAGGGGGCAGGACGCGGAGGGGGAGGGGGGGGGGGGGGCAGGGACCACCGGGGAAGGAGTGACCAGGAACAGGGGGGGAGTAACCGGGGGACCGCGGTGGGGGAAGCGACGGTAGAAGGAGACGGACTCGTCAAAGGTGACGTCGCGAGAGTGAAGGAACCGGTGAGACGGCGGGTGGTAGAAGTGCCAGTCGGACGCGTCAAGGGGGAAACCTAGGAAGACGCAGGGAAGGGTGCGGGCAGTAAGCTTGTCCATGCCAGAGGCACAAACGTGAGCAAGGCAGCCCCAGACGTGGAACGCAGACGCGTCACCAGGAGACCCGGTCCAAAGAAGGGTCGGCGAAACGTGCGGCTGCTGGGGGTGCGGCTACAGGTTAAGCTGGTGAGCAGCGTAGCGCACGGCGAACGGCCACAGAAAATGGGGTGCACCGGCATAGATTATGGAGGTGCGAGCCACCTCCATGACCAAACCGATGCGTTGCTCAGCGACCCCATTCTACTGTGGGGAGTCCGGCAGGGTGAACGTCTGGGTGATGCCCTCCGCACGACAGAAGCGACCAAGGACACGTGAAGCAAACTCGCCACCACGGTCGGAGTGAAGACGCAGGACAGGGAGACCTCGGTGGACACGTGCATAGACAAGCCAGGGGATGAGAGCGTCAGGCACGTCGGCCTTGCGCTCCAGGGGAAAGCCTGTGGTGTAGCGAGTGAAGTCGTCGACAAGCACGAGGAAGTAGCGCTCTCGACGCGGCCCATGGACGGGGGCTGGGCTTCAGACGTCCATGTGCAGGGTCTGCAGCAACGCGGCGGTAG